GCATAGAGGACGACAGATTTCCGCTCCCAAACATAACAGAAATACTAGATTCTTTGTCAGGATGTATTTACTTCAGCCATCTCGATTTATATCAAGGTTTTCACAACGTAGAGTTAGATAAAAACAGTAGAAAGTATACAGGTTTCTGTTCAGGTCGATACCAATTAACAAGAATGCCTATGGGCTTAAAAACTAGTCCATCTTCATTCTCGCGAATGATGACAATGGCTATGGCAGGTCTCACAAACGAGAAATGCCTTGTATATCAAGACGATTTAATTGTCTATGGTCGAAATTTATTAGAAAAGTCAAAAAATTTACAAGACATTTTTGAAAGATTAAGGAATGTTAATTTAAAACTTAATCCGGCAAAGTGTGATTTTTTTTAAAAAGGAAATGCTTTATTTAGGACACGTGGTATCCCGTGACGGTGTTTTACCGGATCCAGGGAAAATAGATACTGTGAAAAATTACCCCATTCCAAAGTCTGTTGACGAGGTCAAGCGTTTTACAGCGTTTGTTAATTTTTACAGAAGATTTGTACCAAATTTTGCGTCAAAGGCGTATCCACTGAATAAATTATGTAGGAAAAATGTGCCTTTTGTTTGGGATCGCGAGTGCCAAAATTCATTTGAAACCTTAAAACAGTGTATAATGTCTCCACCAGTGTTACAATACCCAGACTTTTCGGAAACTAATAACTTTACAGTGCAAACAGACGCATCTGGTTACGCGATCGGCGCTGTATTAAGTAATAGCAATAATCACCCTGTTGCATACGCAAGCAGAAGTTTAAATATTGCTGAACAGCGATACCCCACTATTGAAAAGGAATTATTGGCAATAGTGTGGGCCGTAAAACATTTTCGTCCTTACCTTTATGGTCGTAAATTCAAAATTATTACAGACCATCGTCCATTAGTGTATCTATTTAATATGCGAGATCCTTCTAGCAGGCTCATGAAATTCAGACTAATATTAGAAGAATACGACTTTATTATCGAGTATGTAAAGGGTTCGGACAACGCAGCTGCAGATGCATTGTCTCGGATTTCTTTGACATCAGAACAATTAAAACAAATGGGTGAATACCATATAAATGTAACAACTCGAGCACAAGCACGAAAATTACAAAAAACTACAATACAGTCTCCTTGTGATGTGGTTTCTAATCGCAATTGGTCTGATCAGCCAATTGTTATTGGAAGTCAAACAAAACCAAGAGATGCTGTAGAGCTTAGGTTTATAGAGAAAAACGAATTAGATAATTTAAGAAGACAAAATAAGCTAACTGTGGAAAAAAGCGCGTTTTGCTATGTGGAGAGCAAGTCTACTATTTTTATTAATGCCAGTTTCCAATCACAATTGACGCGAGCCGCATTTGTGAGGGAATTGGATATATTATGTAAAGAAATAAACGTCGACGAAATATATTTTTTGAAGAATAAGAATAATGCTATATTTATTGAAAAAGTATTAAATGAAATAAAATCCCTAGGGAATAGGTGTTCATTAAAATTTTACGTCTTGAATGACGTACGACGAATCGATGACAAAGATGACAGGAAGGTCATATTAAACGACTTCCATCTTTTGCCCACAAGTGGCCACGCGGGCATGAGAAGGATGTTTAACAATATTAAGAAATATTTTTACTGGCCAGGGTTAGAGAAAGATGTTCGAGAATTCGTTAAAAAGTGCGAAAACTGTCAAAAACAAAAACACTCTGTAAGTATTAGGGAGCCGATGGTTATCTCTTCTACGGCTACAACGGCATTCGACAAAATATTCTTAGATTTAGTAGGGCCGTTGGATAGGGATTGTTATAATTACTCTTATGCTCTTACATTACAATGCGAGTTGACAAAGTATGTTGTGGCTCATCCTTTAATTTCAAAAACGGCAGCAGAGGTAGCTCAAGCATTAGTTAATTGTTTTATTCTTCGCTACGGAATACCGAGAGAAATTGCAACGGACAGAGGATCCGAATTCATGTCTTCAGTATTTGAACAGGTATGTTTACTTTTAAAAATAAAACACTTAACATCTACAGCCTATCACCACCAAACTATTGGCGCATTAGAAAATTCTCACAAGCATTTAAATTCATTCTTACGTATACAAACAGACAATCATCCAGAATCATGGAGCCAATGGCTACCATATTGGTGTTTTTCTTTTAATACTTCCGTGCATTCTGAAACTAAATTTACTCCCTATGAGTTAGTCTTTGGAAAAATCTGTTCTCTTCCTAGTAACTTAAATAGCAACATAGTAGAACCGCTATACAATCATGATAATTATCCAAACGAACTGAAATATCGCCTACAGTTGTCACAAAAGGAAGCAAGGGAAAATTTACTCAAAAGCAAAGTAGCAAGGAAATGTGTTTATGACAAACGTATTAACCCTATTGTATACAAACCCAATGACTTAATTTTAATAAGAAATGAAAACTGTAACAAAATGGATAATATTTATTCCGGTCCGTATGTGGTCGTAAAAGATGTAACACCGAATGTTCAAATAAATAAAAATGGTAAATTAGATTTAATTCATAAAAACCGTACAAAATTGTTCATACCGAATACTTGATAATAGTTACCAGCTGACCTGTCCCCTGATAAAATCTCACTTGTTATAGTAAGTATATTTTAGAAATTAAGATTGCATTTATACTTTACTATTGTATTTTAGAAATAAATATTGCATTTATACTTTACTATTATATTTTAGAAATTAAGATTGCATTTATACTTTATACTTTACTATTGTATTTTAGAAATAGAGATTGCATTTATACTTATTTTTAATACGAAAAAAAAACCTATGCTTAGTGTATTTTTTTTTCTTTTTATGGAAAGGAGGTGTGGTGTGTACCCTATTATAGACATTCATGTAACCCTATATAATCATTGTGTATTCTAAAATATATTCAGTATTGTCTCAACATTCGGCGTTTCAATACCTCTCCAATATCCCCGCCTTACACATCACATTAAGATTACCACAGCATCTAGATATTTCACCATTTTTTAAGATGACAGGATACCTATATGTCTCTACAATATGAAGGAAGAATACGAGCGTCTGACGTCTCAGCGTCTCCCCATAACCCTAGCACAGAAGGACTTTGGCCATTGGTCTACGGGTAAGTCAAGACCTGACTAGACTGCAGGTTATGAGAGGATGTTACCCGTAAGTGGACCACACTTTAACAAACCGTAGTACGTGTTGCTGACAGGGCGTTTATCCGAGGCGTTAAGCCGAGGGCGAAGGGGTTAATTGTCATCACACTCGTGTATTCCCACGACCACCATTGTTCGTAAAATAAGTTGACTACTTACAGCACACCGCGTTGAATCTTCCAAAAATTGTTACGTAAAAACGAAAACTACTGTCTTTTTGGCCACTGCTAAGCAATTATTTCCTTGCTTTTCACCGAGTGAGTGCGGAGTAAGGGAGTCCAAACCACCTCCTCCCCGTGATTATGGGGGGAGGAATCTGAAGGGTGGCCACGCACTTGTGATTCTCACCCCGGCCTGCTTCTACAAGGGGGACAGATGACCCACCTAGGGCTGCGCTTATGGAGGATGGAAGTAGTTCAGCGGCCTCTAACGCCTGAGTCGGTACCTTGCCCATTCCTGGACCTGGCAGGTTAGAGTTTCAGAGCTCTCCCGGTCCCACTCCATGCTCTGGACATGACTGAATTATTTAAGAAACTGGATTATTTAAAGACCAGCATGGTAGGCCTGTGATCGGAGAGGCCCATAGAGCAACACGGTAGGGAATAGTCATACGCAGGCATTCCCCAATGCCAAAGTATAATCCACACGGTCATGTGCGTGCAATAAAACTAGTTACGGCCGGACCGCTCACTAGACTAAATCTAGTTGCGCTGCCTGTCTTTCACTTTAACAGTTTTTTGCTTTAAAAAGAGATCTGCCACGTCAAGTTTACCAAAAGATGGCGTTACCTCTCATATGTCAGTAATTTTTAATCAAATTATTACTATTTACAAATTTTTAAACTTAAAATTTACGATATAACATTTGTATTATGCCCGCTCTCATACAATATTCGGATCGGTCGAGCGACCGATAACTAGCCATAACACACAAATTATGAAAAAACTATAACATTTTAGAATTTAACTTAATATTATTTGAATAAAATTGGTGACATGCACCCTAATATAAGCGGTTGAGTTATATCACCTTCGTTTTAGACCTAATGGGTGGCTCGACGAACAGCCAAAGATGTAGAGATTTATTTATTGTATAAAGAAGAAAAATGAATTCGAAGGTAGGTACTTAATTTTGCGTGACGATAAGAGAGTAATTTTTTCGGTCTAAGATGTCCTTAATTCAGACTGAATAGAAAAATGCTCAATCACACGTCAATATTCGTCGAATAGTCTGCATACTCATGTATAAATACTTACTTGAAGCTTTCTTCTGCTAATCCATTCTTCTACACTTATATTTTAAACGTGAAAGTGAGTTTGTTTGAGTAACAAACACGCGACGAACCACTAAACCGATTTAAAAAATTCGTTCAATAATGGAAAGCTACATTATCAGCGAGTAACATAGGACAAACACGGACGCAGCCGCGGCATAAAGCTAGCAGTGGCATAATTCCAAATCGCAGTCTCTTAACATTTAACTATTTTTAAGGTCTTTGAATTTGTGATTTCGGTAACAGTATTATTATTATATTCAAGCACCAGAAACGGCCCATAAACAACACACTTTATTTTGTATACATTTTATGTATCTGTTAATTAAGTACCTATTTATCGATTTTGGACAAAGGCCTCCTTTGACTAAGCTAACGAAAAAAAAGCAAAACCAAAAACGTAGAAGCATTTGAAGTTAGAATCACTCCCGGCTTTCCGATTACAAATAAGAAATTAATAAATTATAAAACGGATGAGGATTGGCGTTTTATAAAATTATTTGTTTATTTATTTTTTAATTTACTGCTAATTTAGCAATATGAAGAAGTTCGTCAAAAGCTCTGTTAATGTGTATCAAAAAACCATTCAACGATGTGAGTATTCATTGACTGACTGATCATTTTCATCACAACAAAAATATTTCCATGAGACTTTTCAATAGTTTTCAGTGACTGTCACAACTAACATTTCGTTTTAGTAAGTAGTTTTGTCTGTCTAAACTAAGTCTGATTTTTAATTAGAAGGACTAAAATGACATTTAGTGGGTTGCCGCGTTATCATAATATTGATTTATTGATCATAATAGTGTTGTATTCTAAATAATTAAGTTAATTGATTTATTAGTTAGAATTTGCATTGATCAGTGGCATGAGTAGCCTGGATTTATAATTGTAGTGACATTTTCACAATGTAAATTTCAGTAATCCTATTTCAATATCTGATTTCCAAACAAAACTGTACTATAATTTAAAGTGGTAAGCCGTAATCAAAGACCACAAATTCAAACAATGATAAAATACCAATAAAACTCACAAAGAGTAACATTCTAACTTATCCATTTCCTAGTTCAATTATAGGCATATACTATAGGCTCGAAAAGCACTAGCAAAGGGCACTGAAGAGTGAGAAACAACTGATAACAAATTGAAATGACTACAATATTATGTGAAACTTTTAATTGTATGGGTAATATTATACAGGCAATGGGTACTTTCTGGCATGTATGAAGTCGATGCAAACTCAAATAGGTACTTGGTAGATGGGTAGGTCTAGGGCGGCTGCGAGGAGCAACTGATGTTTTGTTTGCAGCGAATTTAAAAGATTGAAATGGTTGTGATATTTGCTAATAACTAAAGGTATATGTACTATTAAATTTATCGTTTGGTATTTAATTATTATTGTCTTAACTATTCCTATTATTCTATTGTATTATACTATTGAGTTCGTAATTGTGAAAGCCGATTAAGGGAGCAAACTCTGCTGGACAACAGCACTGCGAAGGGAAGGAAAACTTAAAACAAACCCTATACTAACCCGTCTGGGCAGGGCAGTTATTTAGGCCAAAATCTCCTTTCTAAGGAGTGGCCTATGTCCAGCAGTTGGAAATAATGCAGAACGGTAGGTCCATCAAAATCGCAGGTACTTGTACTATAGACAAGGTATGTCGTTTGCTTAGTGTACCCGTTCTAATAGACATTTGTTATCATGTATTTGTTTCTCGGTTTCGACCACCAGATCCTAGCGCACTGGTGTCCAACATCGAATCCAGAGGTCTCGTCGGTGACACAAAACAATCTAAGACCACCGCTGAAGGAACGGGAGGTAATCGGGAGTCACTTCAATCGGAACGTAAGTTAAATTTTCATTGTAAATAACGTCCAAAGATTGTTTCCAAAAACCAGTCTAGAAAGTTTAGCAGTTTTAATGATATAGAGATCAATCCAGCAGACGGGGTCACCTGATGATTAGTGTATCTGCAACTCTGAAGCCGTAAGACTATGGAGACTAATGTGACTTAATGTGAAAGACTTGTCTACAACATCAGACGGGTAACACCTTAAAGGCCACAAGCGCGTTGGCAGCCTTTGAGAACCCCTGCTAGAATTAGGGGCGCGTTAGGGTTCAAGTCTGGAGGCTTGACTGTACTCACTCGATGAAATACAACGAAAGAATTGCGTCATCGGTTTTCTCTGAGGCTGTAGTATCAGGCCGATCAAACCGTCCGGACCATTCCGTCCCGTAATATAGCACATTATCCTATTACTCCTGTGTTTTTAAAAACCAATATTTACTTTGACAGCTGACATTAAAAAGCAACAAGCTTCAAAGCCAATCTCTCAGGAATACCCAAGAGCTAAGCTCGTTCCTCCGAAACGAAGCTTTACGACATCTAACACTGGGTAAGGAATGGTCATGTATTTGTAGTTTTAAAAATATTGCTGCCATGAGGCATGACAGAATTCAAAACACATCAACAGCCTTTAATAGTCCACTGCTGGACATAGGCCTATCCTTAGAAAGGAGGTTTTGGCCTACTATACCAAGCTGGCCAGACGGGTTGGCATAGGGTTTGTTTCAAGTTTTCCTTATCTTTGCAGTGCTGTTGTCCTGCGTAATTGGCTCTCTTGGTCGGCTCTTACAACAACCACGGGATGTAAAAGGGTGCTGACACTGTATTCTTAATGCGTCACCACACGGACTGTTTCAGTTTAGTGAGTAGTCCACTGCAAAATTAAAATTGTTTTAAAACGCAATAAACCACCAAGTAAACGGCAAATAAAACAAGCCTTCTAATTATTTTACTAACATAAATTTACATATATGGAGCTGATCACTAAATTTGTGTACAGCCGATGAACACAGGGTATGCGGAGTAAACTCCAGTCGTGCGTCGGAGCTGACACACACACTTTTTTATTTATTATCTAATCGTGTCTTGACTTGTTTTTTGTTAAAAACCTAGTTTTCTTAAAACTATTAAAGTTATCATCGTCTAGTCATAGTGTTTGCAATTTCAGTGCCAATACAAACTCTGCATTCCAGAGGGAAACAGTGACATTTGTAAAGGCGACGGTAAAAGCTGCTCTTCCACCTCCTATGGCTAAACACCGGAATGGCCCCGGCCAACCGGTGTTTACCTACCCTGAATACAATTCTCAGAATGTTCAATCCAAAGAGGTAATTTATTTATGCGAAAAACTATTTTACATTTTTAATTTTAAGAATGTACATCTAGTCTCCAAAGAAGACGCGAAGCATTTCACCCGCGATGTGTTTTGCAGTGTGACCTCAATGAAGTGTAGTGTAGATTTCTCTGTTAAAGGCGTTTTAGAAAACACACGAAAGGGTTATGTAGTTCACCTAAAGAAAGTCAACGTCTGTTTTTTTCTGATGTTGTGGAAAAGGAAGTGTACATCTTTCTAAGAAAGATTTCCCCGGGAAAAGTAATGTAGATTGTAGTTGCCCAAGGGGATCGCAGTTGAGAACTACCCGGGAAAGGCATGGTATATTCCATCTAAACAAGCAGTTCTACAGTCTCTATGACAAACGATATGAACACACAGTGTAGGTCTTCTTGGAACAGTTAACTCATTCCCAGAAGTAGTTTAGTCAATCTCGTAACGTAGACGTAGTCAATCTCATAACCGTGTATCTAATTATTCTCGGAACAATGTGGCTATCTCCGAAACAGTATAGCGTTATCCCCGGGGTAATGTAGCTATCTTCGGAGCAGTGTAGCTATCCTCAGGGTAGTGTGACTATCCCCGGCACAGTTTAGTTCTTTCGGAGACAGTATAGGTGATACCCGGGATAGTGTGGTTATTCCCGGTCTACTGAAACTATCCCCAAAATAGTGAAACTATCCATGGAATAGTGAAACTATCCAAGGTACTGTGTAGCTATCTCTGGGATAGTGTAGCTATGCCCGGGATAGGAAGTGAAAATCTTCCATACAGTATAAATAACTCCAGAACCGATGTCATTCCAATTCTTAAACGGTAGCGGTTTCTCTCTGTAACTGTTTTATATTTATCAAAAATATATTTCGTCGTTAGTTTCATACGTCGTCTTGCCAAGCCAAAAAATCCAAGTCATCTAAGCCTGACGATAAGGGGGCGTCAGGAGCCCCATCTTCTTTGCCTGGTCGTCCGCCTACCACCGGTGGCGGGGCCAAGGGACAGATCATTGCCGGTTAGTAAGTCCTTGGTCTTTTTAAAAGCACCAATATAATTTGTTTTGCCACTGTTTTTCCTGTGGGAGCACTGTAGATATTAGTGGAGTCTATGATTTAGTGACTAGGTTGGACGTGATTAGCCCATTGACTATCATGATAAATAGCTAATTGCTTCAATGAGTTTTTGTGTCTGTGACTGGATTATAACTAACTAATTGCGTCCATTTATATAGGTCCGTCTGCTCGCTGCCCCATCCTACATAAAAAAGGTTGAGGTTGCTGGTTTTAAAAATCCCCAGGATAAGTACTTGCTCTAGGTTAGATCGTTTGAGGTTTCCTAGAGGGAGCACTGTCGTGGCGCTGCTACAAACATAAATATTAAAATTACAATGTGTAGTGATTGGTGCCGTCGTGGATGTGCAGTTTGATGAACACTTGCCGCCGATTCTTAATGCGCTCGAGGTGCCTGGACGCAGTAAGTATAGTTTGAATTAGGTCATGAGTACCAAAAGTTATTCGACCCTATTTAGTAGTACAATAGAAATGAAATTAAAATAACACGGTTTGGAAGTCCCATTTTTGTCCTTTCTATGCGTTAGAAAATAATCTAATTAAAAATAAATGTATTTTTCACCGGCTTCAAACCCCTAAATCATGGTAAAATTGGAATAACTAAGCTGTTTTATTTACCCCTTTTTTTTTTTCCGTGCGGAAATCCCCTCGGATACCACCTATCGATGGCATGCCGGACTCGAACCGACTAAAACCGCACGCCGTCTCGGGTACTAATAGCCGGGGAACCAGGTATACCCTAGAAAGGAAGTCCCTGGTACCCCGACATACCTCGGGTCATCTACAGACGAGTAGACCCCCCCCCCCCCCCCGTGTGGGAACCCCATGTTCCCGGTGCTCCCTGGAAGCGAGCGCGTTCGTTCTGCGACCTCCGGCGCCTGAGTCGCCTGCGGTACCTGGCCCGTTCCCGGGCCTGGCGGGCTGGGAGAGTTCTAAACCTCTCCCGGTCCCGCTCCGCCGTCTCCTTCGCGAGCATAACTTGCTCGCAGAAGGAGACGGCAGAGTTCCACGCACTTTCGCTCCGCACGATAGCCGCAATCAGGCTATCGAGTGTTTTATTTACCCCTGAATTTTCACCCTTTGTGGTGGTTTTTTTTTAAAATATAAATTGGACGATGATGAAAGTTTGGGGAAAGGATGAACCTAGGTAGGTTTATTGGTTTTTAGTCGGTTTAAGTCCGACATTACCACCACTGGTGGGTGTCATCCGAGGGGATTTCTGCACAGAAAGAAAGGGCACTTATCTAAGAAATTGAGCCGTCGCGGGACGTCTGGCACATCCAAATTATTTTTTACCAATTAATTATATTGCCACACCGCATTACATGTTACTTGTACTCGTACTATCACATAGCGTGACGACGTATGACGTGGCGACGCGTAGCTACGCCAGCAGCCAGTCTGACACTCTGCATTAGTTGTTTCACATTAAAATCAATCTGTTGTTATTCTTAAAATTTGTAAGTGCTGATGTTATAAGTCTCTGTATTAAGAGGGGGATCACGTGCATCGACAGTATATGATGTGAGCTTTGAACCCATAAACACTTGGTCGCAGGACCAAGGCCTTAGTCCCGCCTTATTTGCTCAAAACTAACTATCTATTTATTCAGCACCCCGTCTAATATTGGAAGTGGCCCAGCATCTCGGCGAGTCTGCCTGTCGAACTATAGCCATGGACGGTACCGAGGGTCTGGTGCGAGGGCAGCCCATCATAGACACTGGGGCTCCTATCACCATTCCAGTGGGAGAACCCACGCTTGGCAGGATCATCAATGTTATTGGGGAGCCTATAGGTATGAAGGAAATAATTTAGTGTTTCAAAAATTTGTTATTATATGTTAGGGCAGTATTAGCTTAGTCTTTTTCTTAGTTTTATATTTTGTCTTTTTTGGATTAAAAAAATAAAACTGTTACCTACCGGTATTTGGTCGCACTCCTCGGAAACGGCCTAATACTTTCGTTCGATTTTTTTGATTTACATGGCAGAATAGCGTTTGCCGGGTTAATTAGTTTTGTAATAATAATTAACTTTTAAAAAACATCACCGACTTCTACATATAAACTGTATTCTACATTTCTTAATTTTTCACCCTTAAGGGTGTTCATTTTTCTTCAAATTTAGTTAATTCCAGAAATTGATAATTTTTCAAACTGCGTTCTTTGCATCTCTCTCTATCTTTGCAATAGTTTTAAATCCAAATCCTATGAATCTACTGTTTGTGTGACAGACGAGCGTGGTCCCATTGTGACGGATCATTTCGCGCCGATCCACGCAGAAGCGCCACTCTTCGTCGATATGTCTGTGGAGCAGGAGATTCTGGTGACGGGTATCAAGGTCGTGGACCTACTTGCGCCTTATGTCAAGGGTAAGTTGACTCTTCTCCCTAACGAGCTAGCATAAATAAAACAATAAGATTGATTGTTCAATCCAATTATATCATTTGCTGGTCAGTCAGTCAGGAGTGCAACCACGGCGTAACTGAGAACCTAGTATTAAGTGATTCCTTAGTTGCTTTCCACCAAGTGAGTGAGGTTCTCGGAGGGCTAAACGCCACTTCGTCCCAGACTCTCCACTCAATCGGCGGCACCGTCCTTGTGTGTCTTGAGTTGCAAGTCTCCATGTTCATCATCATCAAAATCCATCCTAAGGAGGCAGGGAGGGGCCTATGTCCACTGCTGGACATAGGCCCCTCTTGGAAAGGAGGTTTTGGCCTACTATATACCAGACGGGTTGGTATAGGGTTTGTGTCAAGTTTTCTTTCTCTTTGCAGTGCTGTTGTCTTGCAAAGTTTGCTTCCTTAGTCGGCTCTTACGACACTCACGGAATGAATAGGGGTAGTGACACTCAGTGTTCTTAATCCGTCACCACACGGATAGGGTCACCGGTAGTCATTTGATCCGTCTGCTCGTTTGACTCTATACCTAAACCAGCTGACGAGTCACTTGATAAAAAGTAATTACTATCGCCCAAGGCTCTCTCTTTCTCCCCAAACACCGTATTTCAAATGTTCGGCAAACGTATAAAACACTTTGTAGGTGGCAAGATTGGCTTGTTCGGTGGAGCGGGTGTTGGAAAAACTGTACTGATTATGGAACTTATCAACAACGTTGCAAAGGCACACGGTGGATTCTCTGTAAGTCTCTTTCTGCATACTGTTTCTTTGTAGTAGTGGCGTATTCTGTATCAGGCCAGTTGAGGTCTCAGCCGTAGTGGCCTCTCCAATCGCAGGCCTCATTGATCTATTGTAGTCATAGTTCTGTTTCCAAATCCGAGACTTGTAATAACTTAGCCGTTTAATCACTGAGGGCCACTTGGTCTAGTGGTTAGTGACCCTGATTACTAACGCCGTGAATTTGATTTCTACCCAGGACAAATAATTGTGTGATGAGCACTATCATTTATTCTATTTCTAGATGTAGTTCATCTATAACATGTATTTGTTTATCAGCAGTCTGATTACCATAGTATGGGCTCAGCCTAGTTTGGGATGAGACTGCTACGTGTGACATGTGTCAAGTTATTATAGCTTTCATTATTATCACTCTTGCCGTTGTCTTTACTTCAACCCCTCGGTCCCGTCAAAAAACGATTACATTGATTGATTTAATGATTACATTCCCAAGGAAGTTCGACAAGTTAGACAGACGGCCGACTAAAACCAGACATCATCTTTTGCAATGAAACACACTGTTGATCCCAAATGAAAAATGGGAAAAGGTCAGGAAAATTATCATAATGGAGTGGTGAGTATCCTATGGTATGGAGTGGTATATATGACTACAAGAATCTGTCCAGGAAAAAACAGCGACTATACCGCGGTTTTTAAGGCACAGGAGTTTTTAGAGAAAAAATACTGTCAGCATATGTATATTGTTATTATTAATTTCTAGCCTTTACTACCCTTTGTGTTGATAGGTGTTCGCCGGAGTAGGCGAGCGGACGCGAGAAGGCAACGATTTGTACAATGAAATGAAGGTCGGCGGTGTCATTACTGACGATTATAAGACGTCTAAGGTATTGGTTTTTATACTTTTTCACTATTGAGTGTAAAAAATCGAAATCAAATCACACACACAGCCAACTCTGCGTGCGTCCGGAAAATAAAATGTATATTGAGAAGAGAAAAACTTAAAATATGCTGCAATAACAATTTTTTTAAATTACAAAGTTTTAAAATAATATGATGATGAAATTAATAATTAACTGACAACGCTAAAGAGCAGATAATAATTAAATACTAATAATTAAGTATCCGGTATTTGTCCAGACACGTAACAGCTCTCATCCATTATGTTGACGCCTCAAATAAACAAAATCAGGCGAACTATTTTTTATGTAATGTCTCTTTCGTTTTAATCAGAGAAACTCCTGTTCAATTATGACTTGTATTCTGTGCTTTTGGGCATAGTTAACAACTGGAGTTAGGTGTCTTGTCCCTTCCATGAAGGGACGACAAAGAAAGATCGTATAACTAGGCTAGGTGATAACGTTTGGTAGACAGCAGGCTAACTGTTGATATTGACTTATTCGTAAGAAAACTTTAATTGTGTGATGCTGAATCAGTTTGCACATGACATGAAGTAAGAGTATCTTTTTGGTGTGTGTGGAAGTCACCACAACTTTATACATTACACGGATGGCGTAGTGGTTTCGATCTCTACATGGGAGAACCCTTTGTGTGTTGATGTCAGTCTAGATGTTTCTTATGCCCGTTTCATGAATGATTGTAAAGTCCTCCAAGACTCAGAATATATTCCTAGTGCGTGAGTTGTTTTTTTTAAATAAAGAAGTTACTCATGCTCACCAAACTTTTGCAGGTATCTCTAGTGTACGGTCAGATGAACGAGCCCCCGGGTGCTAGAGCTCGCGTAGCCCTGACAGGGCTGACTGTGGCTGAGCACTTCAGGGATAAGATGGGACAGGACGTGCTGCTGTTTATTGATAATATATTCAGATTCACGCAGGCGGGCTCTGAGGTAAGTAAACAGATTTGTACATGCTTGATACTTTGTCCAAATAAGTCTATAGAAAAGTATTGAAATAAGGACATTTAGGTTCGATGGTGGCTCCGTTCGGCGATCAGTTGGATCTGCCAATGTGGAGAGGGTGTTAAAGGCCGCAATCCGTGAGGGAAAATGCGTCCCGTCAGAGAGTTGTATTACACGCTCGGTGTAATAAAAAGGCATATTTTAACATACGGTTGTTTCTAATGTTAAAAAAACGCTTAGCAAAACACCAATTCCCTGGGTATGTCTCTGGTAGCTTCTAGAGTACTAGACAGAACAGATATTATTATCAGAACTTTTACCTTGATTTCTATACTTTTAACTTTGACCAGGCTACAGAACTTAGTCCATTTTCATCCTTCTTAATATCGCTTTGATTGCATTAAGTCTGTTTCGATTTAGGTTTGCTTTGAATTCACTAAATTAGGTTCCCCCATCGCTCCAAAATCTATGGTCCATATTTGTCTCCAGGTGTCAGCCTTGCTGGGCCGCATCCCGTCCGCTGTGGGTTACCAGCCGACACTGGCCACTGACATGGGTACCATGCAGGAGAGGATCACGACTACCAAGACTGGATCCATCACAAGTGTGCAGGTAACATTGATTATATTTAAATGACCATTGGTTATTTCAGATCTTATTTAAATTTGTAGAAAAAAATACCGCCGTTTAGTTAGTTGCAGGTAATCATGGGCAGTGGTAGAACTTACCATCAGATGATCAGTCTAAAACATACTACAACGCCATCACACACAGACACACCGAACTACGGAGTAACTGCTAATCGCGAAACACACGTAAATAATTCTCTCGCCCATAAGCATATTGTATTGTAATAGCCGGGGAACCAGGTATACCCTAGAAGCCAATTATAGCACTGAATTAAAGACTACAATATTTTATTACATGATTTTTATAGATAATCCAACCGTGTTTTTAATGGTTTACAGGCTGTCTACGTGCCGGCAGATGACCTAACTGATCCAGCCCCAGCCACCACATTCGCTCACTTGGATGCCACCACGGTGCTGTCCCGAGCCATTGCCGAACTGGGGGTGTATCCTGCTGTAGACCCCCTGGATTCCACCTCGAGAGTCATGGACCCCAATATCATTGGTGCTGAACACTACGCGTGCGCTCGTGGTGTTCAGAAAATATTGCAGGTATTATAGTAACTAGATATCGCCTGACACTCGAGTTTCGACCATTTTGATGGCTTGTTTAATTATACTGGTCAATAACCGGTAAAATTTGAACTGTCATTGTTAAGTTTTTGTACCGTTTCAAGTAAAAATATTCATTTTTTTGTTCTTTAAAAATACAACTCCCGCACTAGGAATAAATCCTGTGTCGCGGGGGACTTTACAAACATACATTAAACGGAAACAAAGAACAACCAGACTCGGAACAACAATTTGTGAATGACACAAAGTGTTGTCCCATGTGAGGATCGGACCCACAACACTCAGCGCAGCAGTACCAGTACGCCATCCGTGCGGTCAATTTACACCTACTGTATATCGCTGTTTTTACAGATTTTTTAAAGTTTTAGCATGTTATATTAAATTATAAATTTTGCTTTTTACTAACTTATTGCTTTAACTTGCTGTCAAGCGGTCACAATTATAGTTCTAAATAATACCTAACATAGAAGAAATGATTGTACTCATCGCGAATTGTACGAATCGAACCCGCTTAGCAGTTAGGATTGCTAACTATCTGACCAACAATCTTATGATAAATACTCCAGCTACATACCGCACTTGCAGGTATTCGACCTTATCATCTAAACCGTAGATTGACATTTGCTTTTGGCATTAGTTTGCTAATTTAAAATCAATTTTTAATTTATAAAAGAAGAAAGGAGAAGAGAGTAAGAGGAAGATAAGTTCCGGAAGAAAGACTTTGAGTTTCTCTGGTGTGTTAAAGTAATAAATAACATAGAAATAATTGCTCTCCAGGACTACAAGTCCCTTCAAGACATCATTGCTATCCTCGGCATGGATGAACTGTCTGAGGACGACAAGATGACCGTTGCGAGAGCTCGGAAGATACAGCGATTCTTGTCGCAACCGTTTCAGGTGATTTGATCAGAAATCTATGTCGACTAAAAATTATTACCGACGGGAAAAACCTGATTTTGTTGCATTTCCAAATTTACAGACACTAAACATTATTTTAAATATGTATAGCTCGGTAAAGTTTTTCGTATTAAATTAGAATAACTAGAAAAAAAAATCAATTCTGTGTCTGTAACTTATTTTGCCATGAGAGAACAATAGATCATTAGTCGGGACTTACATTTAGATCAAATTTCAAGATACACTTTCGGTTTCTGCCGTTCATAAGAAAATTTTCTAGGACGAATTTTTCAACTTGATCAATAAATGTTCTGATACGTATTCCATATACCCAAACTAACTTTGGAATTCCGTAGTAGGGGTCCTAGGGGTCCCGAGTCCAACAACAGGCTCATTTCTGAGGGAACACCAATTCAATTTGACAGACGGCGTGGAGATTTTAACTCGTTAAGAAAAAAACAAAGAAAAGCCTGTTTTTGATTGAGAAATATATATTCATACATATGTTTTGTTTGCTCCAGGTAGCAGAGGTGTTCACTGGTCACATTGGCAAACTGGTGAAATTGGAAGAGACTATCAAAGGCTTTAAGAGGGTGAGTGTGGTCTATTAATATGCTGGTTACGAGTTATTAGAGATTGATTCGTGCAAAGGTCCCCACTAAAGCAGTGATTTAAAGTTTATAGTATGAGGAGCAAAGGAACAGACGGGTCACGTGATGATACGTGACTAACGTCGCCCATGTACACCTACAACCAACCCAGAGTTACAAGTGCGGTTTTGGTTCTAGTAACCTTACTCACTCGGTAAAAAGCAATAGGGAATATGCATGTATTTTTTTTTTAAACGATTCTACTAGTTATTACATTACCAAAAATAAATATAACACATCCGAAATATAAACCGTTAAGCAAAAAAAAATTATTAAAATCACCATCATTTTGGGGCAATTTGAACACGTCCATTTTGGCGCGCTTTTTTGTGACGTCAGATTACACTTTCAGACGAATTCGATGTCAACAACGGAGTGAAGTTCACAAAGTTTGTGAAAGTTAAAAAAGTGAGTGATAAAAATTAACTTATTACCATGGAACAGCCAATAAAAACTTATTATAAATATTGTGCCGTTACTTTGTGCCCAAATAATATCAAAACTGCACCTGACAAAGTATATTCAGTCATTGTGTTGAGTCTTTCTACACGGGAATTTAATAATTTAACACTGAAAACGTATTAGTTATTAACTTAAAATGAAACAAGTAATCACCAGAAACCAAATATTACAAATACACACAACTTGTTGACACTCTTGAGTGTAGGTTGACGTCACGTTTTATTCAACCAATAGCGTTGTGTTTTAGAAATTTGCGCGGGAATTTTAAAAAAAGCCAATTTTTGATGATTAAATTTCACTATTAAATTATAATAAATTTCAAAAATAATTGTATGGGTATCTTTTTTAGCAATAAAAATTACAAATAAAAATATTTTGTCCATTTTGGTGTCACGTGCATATTCCCTATTAAAGAATTGGTTCACATTGGTTTTCAGTGAGGTCGTGATAGCACTCTGGTCGATCCGCCCCATTTGTGACGAAACATGATTCTTCCATGCTTACTAAAGCAAACGGGGTGTTACTTTCATAAATTGTTACGAATTTATCTACACATAGACCCATGCTCGTATACACTTATACGTATGCACGCACACACGTCACATCATCACATCAACAGCCTGTTAACACTGCTGGACATAGGCCTCTCCTAAGAAAGGAGGTTTTGGCCTACTATACCACGCTGGCCAGACGGGTTGGTATAGGGTATATGTACTTGTGTCAAGTTTTCCTTCACGCACACACGTATTGTCTGTTAATTAAAATATCTATATATTCAGGAAATATTGACTTACTTTCTTATACTCACTCACTATAAATCTCTTGCAAATGAAACTTAAGTATAAGCTTCAGTGATTGCGTCGGAAATTAGCAATTCGTCGTAAACGTGGCGCGTTTTTGATGGTTGTTCAAGTTCTGTCATACAATATGGCCACCTCGCCGTCATTATTTTGACGTTTAATTAATGACAGCTGTCACTCTAATCACACTGACACTGAAATGTTTGTATGTATTTCTGTTGTCAGATTCTGAACGGTGAGTTGGATCAAGTTCCAGAGGCCGCGTTCTACATGGTGGGCACCGTGGAGGATGTCATAGCTAAGGCTCAGGAACTCGCCAAGAACGTCTAGGTCCCGTGTCAGTTTTGTGAAGAACATTAATATTACATTATTAAAAAAATGAACGGGTTTTTCATTTAATTTTTATTAGTTTAGTTTATCTTTATTAAATGTAATAATAATAACAACTTGTGTCAATCATTCATATTTTTCAGCCGTAGAGTGGGCCTGGAGACCTGTCATACAAGATTTAGAGCCTTTTTTCGGATCTCTTCAGATCTCCAGATCTCCGGCTCCTTGGGGACGCAGGCGCCAGGAGTATGTAGTGCTTCCACTAAAAACCAACCCGACAGCCGGTCTCAGGCGCCCTACCCCTAGGGGTACCCGCACCATGTTATTTCAGTACCCCCCCCCCCCCCTCCCCGATCGCCGCCGCGCCTAGTAAGGCCCTTATCCCGCCAGCTATCGGCTATCCCATCTATCTCAATCATTACCAATTATATCATTATCAAAAGGTTTTGAGCCTAGTATAGACTCCAGCTCTCACTAAGAATAATTATATTATTTTATTTTAATACATGTAATCCGTGCTCCGTAACCTACTGCACCTTAAGTTATTATTAATATTATCTCATATATGGCTGTCTGTGCTAAACTAGACAGAGCCTTAGCAATGATAATCAGACTGCTGATAAACATACTTTAGTATTTCTAAATAAGTACATATATGGATAGATTACACGCGGACACACCACAATTGCCTTTGCTTATTAGTTAATTATCAGTGGTTCACACACCACACGCAGATCATACCACTAGACCAACAAACCAGTATATATGGGAAGTTATATTTTGAGATTTTAAATCTGTCTCCTAGTTAAGATAATTAATAAATAAATGCGTTCACCCAAAATAACGATGATTCATGATGTGATTTATTTTATTTATTTATCAAAAACACATTGCACACAATCCTTATAGAAAACCCAATGCGATTGTGGGGCTACAACTTACATTAAACTAATTTAAAACAATTATATAATTTTAAAATAACAGAAATAGATAATCACACGAAAAGTAAAATTTAAATATTATAAGTCATACGGTACATTTATTATAACCCTCGCGAGCTCGAGTTACACGAGAATCGATCAATTTTACTGGTAACCTCGTTGATAACACGGATTGCATAGATGAAATTTTCGATATTATTTTGGTTCTGACCGCAGAGACGACTAGCAGCGGTGAGTGTCGCCCCCTCCACACATAGCAGTCCGATACACTGGGGCTAGGACTGCTCCAGTACTGTCTTATTACACACCTGAGTCCTCAAGATTTTAGCTATATACATAGCAAGTGAGAACTTACTCTTAGCTCATTGTACCCTACCATGCCAAGCACATACAATGTGGGGTACATTAAGTGATGTGATGTGAAACTGTCACTAAATAGTTGAGCAGTCGGGAATCAGCATCGGGAGTCCCTGTGCTCCATTGGTTGAGTAGTTTAATTGAGCAGTAGGGCTAGAGGACTTTTTTTTTTATTTTACTTCGGAAAATTTTATTCCGGATAATTTATGTAATTTTTACATATTTGTTCTAGTGTATAAATTGAGCATTTCTTTAGTGAAAACGGTGAATGCTTTAGCGTTATTTTTTGTTCAACAGTTATTTCCGAATGTATTAGTTGCATTTGAATTTTAGTGATTCAGTGATTTTAGTTGAGCAGTAGGGAAAAGTTCTTTTTTTATTGGGAACACTATAACTTGTCAATCGAAAAGAGAAAAAATGCAAACGATCCGTGGTCACACCAAATTGCCACACTGGTGTGACTATGGTTTATTTTATTTATCCGTAGTCACACCACAATAGCGCCCAACACATGCAAAAATGTAAATTTATTTTTACCGTACCGTTATATATACATATATAATGTAATAATAATAATAATATTCTACCACATACACACAACGCCATCTAGTCCCAAACTAAGCAGAGCTTGTACTATGAGTACTAGACAACTGATATAAATACATATTTACTTTTTTTTTTTTTGTAAATACATACATATTATACTTAGAAACACCCAGACCAAATCAAACATCAAATGTTCATGCACACAAATGTTTGGACTTGAGCGGGAATCGAACCCGCGACCTTTGGAATAGCAGTCCTTTACACAAACCACTACGCCATTCGGTCGTCAATATACCGTTTATAACTGACAATTAGTAGCCATTTCATTATTAATTAATTCTAGCTGTTTTTATTTTATTTGGATTGGTGTTTTTTTTCAATACATAAACGTTAAATGAAGTTAGTGGGGACTTCGTCACGTAATTTTTATTGAATCTTTCATTCAACTGTGAATGCCAATTTTGTAAGACGTATAATTTTGTTTGTTTTGCGTCTGTTTATATAAACCATTCATTTATGAAGTCATAATTTTAAAACCAACTTTTTTTATCATATACTTAATATAATAAACTTTTAGTTTCGCATCTAATACACTGTTGTGGCTTCGTATGAATAAAATAAATCAGAATCACACCATTGGCAATATGGAGTAACTACAGATCGGTTGCGAGAAAAACTTTCCGAACGTTTGCGTATTGTATATCTATGAAATAATATCGTATATATATGAAATAATATAACTTTGAGTGCTAAATCCGTTGGCAATGACCTTCTCATCAATCCAGTCCCGGAGGTAGGCGACGTTCCCGTATGTGCCGGGGTTGCCTTCATCACCGCAACCTATACGCCATGCTGCAATACCACTCTGCATGTAACGGTCTGATCCAGCCTGATCAAAAACATAAAAATGTCCATGTACAGGTATGTATACCTAAAGGGGTGAGGTGTAAAGGATAGGGGTAAGTGGAAATGAAATTCCACTCCTCCCAACCAGTGACGGTGTGGAAAATACCACTTGTCCCTACCACGATACGAACACGAACGATAGCTAATAGAGACTAATAGAACAGACCGAAGAGGTAAGAAAATTTGATTCTACTCATAAGGAGACCTTTGTCTCCTTTGTCAGACCCTGTTTTGTCCCCTGTCAACTGGGGTCTTTCCTACCCTCGTCACAGTTATTTCAAAACACTAGTTGGATCAACAAGATACTGAAAACTCTTCAGAATGCGCTTGTGGTGTAGGGAAACTGTAATATATCTCACCTCAATAGGACAAGAGAGTGGAGATCCGCCGTCTCCCTTGCATATCTCTGGGCCTCTCTCTCCGCCGGCACAAATGAATGAAGAGTGCAGCTTGAAGTGTTTACTGAGACGAGTCATGCGGAGTAGTGTTTGGCAAGCATTGTGCTCTACTACTGGGAGTTCCACCTGGAAATTATTATCTTTATATATATAATTCTTCTGTGAGTGTGTATGTCACTGAACTTCTCTCAAACGACTGGACCGATTTTGATGAAATTTTTTGTGCGTGTTCAAGGGGATCTGGGAATGGTTTAGATTCACAATTTTGTCCGCTGGACAATGTTTTTTTAATTAATTTTTAATTTATTAGTAGTTGTTGATTTTGGAATGTTTTACATTGGATCAGACAGACGGCGCTACCATCGCAGTGTCAAATTTGACAGGACAACGTCTGTCGGGTCCGCTAGTTTTATCTAAAGTTATAATTCTCTGTTAAAATACTGCCGTGTCTGTGTGTCGTAGAAAAGTTGTTCAGTCGTGGCCGCCCTTTCAGTTTCCTCCCTGACAGGAAACAAGAGGGGGGGGGGGGAGTTGAGTTGGGCACTCCGATCGAGCCGGCCTATTTGTGCCGAAGAATGGCTCTCCCACGGAATAAAAGCTTATTCTATTCATTTTTCTTCATAAGTATGAAGTGTAGTTAATAACCCGCTACCCATCAAAATATTCAATATGCCATTCATCTGTGAGGAAATCTCACCTTCCGCAAAATAGTCTGATAATGTCCTTCTTTTCCAAATTTTTCCTTTCCCCATCCCGTAGCGAAGCACCTAGTGCCATGGAGGGCGTAATCCTGAGGCGATGGGAGGCAAGCCACTCCCACGTGTGGCGCTGAGTCTACTGGTCTGGTGAGGAACAAGAGGGCTACATCGAAGAACAGATTGGCTGCAACGGGAGAAAAACACAAATAATTGTATCTATTCATCAACGACTCGAGGGCCGGGCTTCTTGGTCTGGTTAGTGTCCTTCGCTGCTAAGCCAGAGGTCGTAAGTCCGATTCCCATAGTACAGGCTCTGCCTAGTTTGGGATCAGACGGTCATGTGCGAATTGTGTGAGGTTATTTTCATTATAACTTTCAACCGTATTTTAATAAAAAAAAGCGAGTTGAGGGCAAGGATATAAATACACAAATTTGCTTTTGATAACAAAATAGTTTGTTAATTACAACATAGGTATTATAAAATAAAGCCGTGTCTATTTGTCTCTCAAAGCTCCAAGTCGTAAAGTACCGAACGGACTTTATCCCCTGACACGGTTCTGAAAAGTGAAGAGTGAGCACCGGAAAGGTTTTGGTGCATATTTCATTAAAGTTTCGTATTTGAAAGACCGTAAAGAAATTACTGCAAGTATTTATTAAGAACATGGTTAATTTCAGGTCCACTAGGGCGGATCCAGGGGGGTCATGTACCATGCTACCCTGATGGACTGGGTAATTTATTCGATTTCCAGTAGGTTATCAAATTGGAGTTTGTTATAAATCATGACCACACAAAACTGACTCTGAGTTCATGTAACTTTCAATTCAACGCTTGTTTCCTACCGCCATTGAAATCCTTATGTATCTCCACAGAAGCAACATCTCGATCCTGGAAGGGGTAGATCTCTTTAGTGGTCTGGGTATCCCACTCTCCAGCTCTGATCCTCAAGGATTTGGCTCTAGCGACGATGTGTGCTGCCGTTAGCACAATATTTAAACTGATCAGGGAGCCCCCACCAACGTATACGACTTGTTTCGGACCTTCGGGCTGCACCGGGTTCACGGGTTTAATTCTGAAGAAAAAATTAAAATTTAACACCAAAAAACGCTAAGTAGCTTAAAGTATATTACGTTTTTATCATCAACTGCCTTTATTAGTCCACGCTGGACATAGGCCTCTCCTTACAAAAGGAAGTTTTGGCCTACTATATCATGCTGGCCAGACGGGTTGGTAAAGGGTTTGCGTCAAAATTTCTTTCTCTTTGCAGTGTTGTTGTCCTGTGTAGCTTGCTCCCTTAGTCGGCTCTGGTGGTGTAGGGTAGGGCGTATTCTTAATCCGTAACCACACGGACAGAACAGTTAGTAAAAGCATTTAAATTTAGAGTAAGTAAAGTATAACACATAATCTTACTCCATGACTGCAACCATCCACGGGAACTCCCCAAACTTGGCCTCACCGTCCTTCTCGCCGGTGGTGCGGAGATCCACCCCTTGGGAGTTACGCCACCCACATCCCGTGCGAGGTGTCTAAACAATTTTTATTTACTGAAAGCTCCTTTTTTAACTTACACAGCAAAAAATTACATCAATGTATATATATATATTAGTAGTAGTTCCAGCCAGGTGTGCTATAAAGCTCTTTGATATACAGTTTTCTTTTTTTATGAACGGACGGCTTTATTGATGGTAAATGACTACCTCTTCTCGTAGACGCTATAACTCAAGAGTCAGAAGTGGGTTGCCACCCTGTAAGTCCTCCCAGAATTAGAGGGAGCCGAGAAGATTTTGTAAATTCCAAACGACTTCAAGCGGCTATCATTCCTTCATTTCCCACCCTCGGGAGTAGTATTGTTTCTTTTAACTTGAAAGCGACCAAACGGCCACAAAGTATACCTCACCAACAAACAACAAATCTAAATGTATAAATGTTAAGTTGGTTTGTGTACGCTTTAAAATATCAGTTATGCATCGATTGAGCTCAAATTTTGTCACGATATAAATCCGGTTCAAAGAATGTTTGTATGTATTTTTTGGGCAATTTCTGTTCCTTAATTCTCAACAATACAACCACAATGTGCCATAGCGAAGCGTGTCAGAGTACAGCTAGTCCTTTTATTAATTCGGGTTCGGCGGTAACAAACATAAAAAATAAACCAAATTATCGTTCGTATTTTTTTTTAATATCTGTTAACCGCTTTGTCTGTTTAAAGGTATGAATGAAAATGACAATGAAAGACAGGGTCCGAAAATAAATACGATTCGCAATAAGACGTACCTGTAGTACCCGTTTCGGTGTTATTGGGTTTTCTGGAGGGCGCTCAGCTGGGACTGGACAACATGTGTCCAGGTATGATAAACAAGGACTGCTTTTATTGCGACTATTGACAAAAAGATAAAAAATACATCAGATGAGCATACATACGATAACGGTAAATAAACGAGAGGTACCCAAATAAATCCTTTGACGGGGGATTTTGTAAAACGGTTTATAAATATTTGACACGATATACATCAAAGTCATCTAGCGAAATTCAACGAATTACGTAGTTACTACGGTAATGTACTCAAGTTATATGTATAATTATACAACTTCCTCACCAGGCATAGCTTGTAGCCTGGTTAAAGAATCCTCCCTGTGTTAAACATAAAACCACAACAACCAAAAAAAACATTACTTCTCATCCTCCGTTTTCTTAAAAAGCGCAGGAGTTAGAAATCTCTACTCTTTACCGCCGTTCATTTGTTTCTAAACCCTTTAAAGTCAATATTTTAAAGGGTTTATAAAAAAATGAACACACAATTGTGTTTTTACAATTTGTCAATTCTAAATTTTAAACTATCGCGTTCTATGATATATAACTAAGTATGTTTAGGGAAATTAACGGGCTCTATTAGGTATTCAGTACATACATAACTCAGCTTGAGACCGCAGCCAGTGCAACCTGGTTGAAACGTCAGGTTTTTAAAAGAGATGTACATAATACCTACCTTAAAAAATCTAGCTTTCATAGTACAAGCTCTGCTTAGTTTGAAACTAGATGGCCTATATGAACGCCACCGTGAATTCCCGAAAACATAATTATAGATTTGCCAAGTATCCGGTACGGCTAGTCTACAGCTGAAACTTCCACACTTACTAAATAGTTATGAAGGCAAGGCCTGTTTCGACGGTAAATCTATTGATGTCACAAAGATGGTGCGGCACACATTCTCCTATGGATCCGTCGTCCAGAGTGCATGAAACATCGTCCTCTGTGGACAATGTTAATTTTTTTCATTGTTATGCAAAACCCTTGATACCAGAATGTTTAAGAAGTAACAAATTTAAACCTGTTCCTTTCGTTTTCATTCCATAAACTTTGTTAGAGACACAGAAAGGAACACCGATTAAATACCTTTAAAAAAATATATATCTTGAAGTTTGTAAAGTTATTGTAGTAAATGAGAGATCCTGGCCACTGCTTTTTCTTTTTAATTTTAAAAGACAACTCCCGGGCTAGGATACATACCATGTGTTTCGAACACAAAGAACACCTAGACTTAGAACAACAATTTGTTGTCCTATATTGGCATCGAACCCACAACACAACGCATCAGGAAGCGGCGAGGTGACCGCTTAAACCACTACGTCAACGTGCAGTCAAACTAAACTAAACGCGTTAACTATGAGGTATGAGAGATAGAGACAGGTTTTTGAAAAAAACTTGGCTTTAATAGAAAATAAGAGCTTATTATCCTCTTAAGGCTATTTCAGTTTTCCAATTCATTCATCATCATTCATTCATCTTTTGAAAATACTTATTTCTAAAAAGCGGGTATTTTTTGTTCAAGCAGGTTTTAGCTTTCCTTTCATTTTCAGGCATCCATACCTTAAAGAATCACATATTAATGTTGCTACTATACCTAGAGTATTCTAAAATACAGAAATCTGCTTGAAAGGGCGGCTTAAATGTTTTTTTTTGTTTTCTAAAAAAGACGACTGTGTGGGTCGCAGTCGACTTTACAAAACATTCATTAAAATGTAACACAAAGAACACTCAGCCTCTTTTTCCAGAAAGAGTGTTGTCCCGTGTGGGAATCGAACCCACAACAGTTAGCGCAGTAGGCAGCTGCGAGGTGACGGCTTAAACTACTACGGTATCCGTGCAGTAAAATGTGCCGCTTTCCACTTTTTCTTACCGAACAAGCTGTCGTTTTGGTCAAATATTTTCTTTTTTGCTGACCCAAAGCTTTTAACTTTAACGTTTTTAAGGTCAGATTTTAAGTAGTAGTAGCCCTTTATGATTTAGGAATGAGAACATGGTATCCAAAAAAACTATATTAGATATTCCCCTTAAGGTTTTGCTTACAAAACTGGTTGAGGAGCTTCTTCGTAGTTTAGCTTTGAAAGGTAAGTCATGAAAAATATGAATTCAGGACGATGGGTGTTACATGTATCGCTTACCATTAGGTTGTAAGCTGTACGCTGTTGCCAATATCAGAAGAAGTGCCTTTAACATCTGCAGAATAAAATCACACTAATATTATGAAAACAAAAGTTTGTGAGTGTATGTATTTGTATGTTTGTTAATTCGCCACGCTTAAAAAGCTGTTTTTTTTTTATTAAATTATATAGAGGTCGCTGATACCCTGGATTACTACATAGGCTACTTTTTATCTCGAAAAAATAGTATAGTTTTTATGCCGGCAATTCCCCGTACAAACTGGAACCAACGCGTTGGTTGGTTCCAGTTTGTACAGGGAATCAATTACCGCTAACCACTTTTGATGAAATTTGTAATGAAGATAATTTGATTCCTGAAAAAGGACATGGGCTACTTTTTACCGCGATAACCGATATACACGCTGGCGGAGCCGCGGGCAATATCTAGTTAATTATAAGTACAACAGCTGGCAACCATTAATAAACCGTGTTAATAAATAGCAACTCTTAAGCAAATGAATTAAGTTCAACATTGCGCAACAACATGTTAGAACAAGTTAGGTATCTTTTCTTTTCAAGTAGTATTTCAAGTCGTCATTTCTGGAGTAGTCTCTGTTTATAGTGTAGAAAATAGTATCAGGCTATTGCCGGCGCATAGGAGGCAAGCAAGCAGTCAACTGACCTGGTAGTCAGTGATTGACCCGCCAATAAACCTGCTGCCCCCTTGCCAATTACCGCTCTTTGTTTGTCGTCCCGGGAGTGAGACCAGCCATTTTGTGCCGAAGAATGGCTCTCCCCTACGATTAACTAACTCTGTTTGTTAATAAAAAACGTCAAGAACGTCCTTAATTCAACTTTGCGATTATTCTAAAGTATTCGAAAAGTAGTTTAATTCATCTATAGCAATATAACAAAGCTAGTTATTTGTTTGTATAAACACATCTCTAGAAGTTTCCGTCAGATTTGAAAAATTATTGCTTACGCTACGAGCTTTAAGGACTGAGCTGTAATGTGCATCAAATCAGTTGAAACAGCTATCAGATTCCCTTTAACACAGGCATACTCATTCAGGCATTACTTATATTGAAGAGACAAATCTATACCTACCTTGAATCACAAACTTCTAAACACTCAAAACAACAATGTTATAACACTGGTTAAACAGGTTTTTGAGCTTCACAAGGTCGACGCAACACAACGCGAACTGCTTATAAATAAAAAAGTATTATTTGATTAAAAATTTAATAATATTTTTGATGTATAACACAATATTTAATGTCAATCTCTTAGACGGTATTAATAGTTCGTATTCTTGCGTAAGATGATGCGACTTAATAACCCTGTCTATATATTATACTACATTGTTATATAACTTAGACAAAATATATGTAAAACTAGTCTTCTAAATAAAGAGCGGTCAAAATGAATTTTGGCGCGTAATTTAAACGTCAGTTGATTAAAATCTCATATTTTTTTTAGTTTGTAATAATGTCATAAACAAATAATATATTATTTTGCCTTCATCATTTAACCCCCTATTTCACCCACTTCGAATAACTTTTCTCACTAATTGTGAAAGTCAACAAAAAGAATTTCTATGAGGCCTTGGCATCACTCTTGTCGAGCCAACCCATATGATCTGAGCCGTGGCTCTCTCGCTTCAAATTTTGTGACAAACTTCAGTAAAAAATACTTACACACAATTTTTCAGGGATGAAGAATTTTTTGATATTTCGTGGACGCCTGACGTGGTAGATTCGAATCAAATGGAGTCTTAACTCCCTTATTTAGCCATTGTAGACTGTTCGGAGGGCGTCGCTTACCAAAACTCGCCAATCATCATCATCAACAGGCCTTAACAGTCCACTGCTGCACATAGGCCTGTCCTTAGAAAGTTTTTGGCCTACTATACCACGCTGGCCAGACGGGTTGTATCAAGTTTTCCTTCTCTTTCTTGTTGTCCTGCAGAGTTTGCTTCCTTTGTTTGCTATTACTACAGCCAAGGGATGACACTCCATATTCTTAATCCATCAAAACACGGAATACTATATAATTTTATTGTTGGCTCCAGAACTAAATACAAAAGGAAATATCTCGAGGATAAGGAAATCAAATATCGTAAGGGACAAATAAAACTTGCTACATCGCTTTGTACAAATCACAATTTATTTATTGTATTTACAAGCGCGTCACGCACCGCGTACAAACTTAATACATACTAACTACAAAGGTAAATCATTATAAACATAACTTCAAGAGTGATCGTGCGGCCGACACTCCCACATCTACATGACACACTCCTCACGAGGATCACGAACCCTCCTTCTCTTTTTCTGACTAAAGGACATGTAACTAAAAACTAGTCCATATAGTATACTCTTATATAAGGTATGAATTTTAATTTTTCATTATGTTGATTGATAAAAAGACAAAAAACTGGTTATCAAAATATCATAGGTCAATAGCGACTTTTTGCAGTGATTCAGTGGTAAATGCCGATTCAGGGCTTCATTTATAGGGCAGACGAGCAAACGAGACATATAGCTGATATAAAGCGATTACCGCTGCACTTGCATGGGGGGGGGGGGGGGGGAATAATGAGGGGTTTTTGGCCTCCAATAACGTTACTCACTCGGTAAAATGCAACGAAAGAATTGTTCAACATTGGTTTTCTGTGAGGCCGAGGTATCAGACTGGTTGAGCCATATGTGAACACACATGGCTCTCCGTTCCGCTATCTGGTTGGTACTATTTCAAGTAAGTAATTAACGTCGACGTGGGCGTTTTGTGAATGTGTATCTGACGCGAAATGTTAGTCCTCTACAGCATTTGCAACTACACCATCGATGACAATGTACGAGTATCACTAACGCGGGATAATAAATCTATTTGCGCGGGGTTATTTGAACAAATATGTTTAATAAGTAGGACAGTCTTTTAATTACATGCCACTTTGCAGATTCAGTTGAGCTTATATTGAAATACAAACGACTCACTTTAGTATAGTTCACCGCATAAGCGGTTTGTATACTGCTGTACTGTGTACAACCACACAATTTTATATTAAAAACAAATCCGTTTTTTGTTTAATTTTCATGAATGTATTTTTATAGTTTACTCGCGTTAAGAAATTAGTAACGCGTCGATCAAGCCCCGCCCCCTACCAATCAGGTACCGAGAAATCGTTTCGTACGAAAACTTAAAACCCAATTGGTCAGAGTGCGAGGCTTGGTCTATGCGTCACTTTTTTCTTAAAGCGAATAGACTATTGAGTCGTTGATAAGACTACATTACGCTGTGTCAAACTGTGTCTAGTGTCTTAAATACAATTTAAACCGCAGGGAACGCATTAGTATTTTGTAATATATACTTAGAGTCACGAATTGTCACTATTCAATAATATATAATTGATTCTGCACTACACTGTGCCGAACTGAGTCATCTGCATTCCAACATACGCTCATTGCGTCCTGAACAGATCAGCTGACTGGACACAACATTGACCTGCACACCACATAAAACTTGTATAGAATATCCACATATACAGTGGAAGACGACTTACTCGCACTAGCTGCAGTTATGTTAGTTTCCAGTTCTAGTATATATTCTTTAAACATCCATTCTAGGTGACGCTACAGGCCATTTTACGACGTTTAAGTTAAACTTAAGTTAAAAACAACGTATAATGTTAAACTCATAGAATATTAAATCGCTACAGCGCATGTGGTTACATTATGCTAAAGACTAATATGTATTTTATACAAGGAAAATTGCCGTGGACTATGAAACAATGTTAATAAACTCATACATTATCTATGATTGTTTATGGTAGAGACTGAGTAATGTAGTCTAGTTTATGGTGACTTAACCTTTTGTTATTTCTTGCCGGAAAATGATGTGTTTAAAAATTGAATTATGAAAATTTGAAAAGTTATTTAGAAAGAGTTCAATTCTTAACTAATTATTTTACATTAATATAGTAACACCATATACGGTTAACAATTAGATATAACGCCATCTGGTGACATTTCAATGAACTAATCAATCTTGCATGAAAATTCTCTGTATATATAATAGATAGGAGTGGACATTCTGTGTTGACAAGAAACATCAACAAGACTTCTCATTCCTGCACACTAATAAAGAGGCAAACAATTCTGTAGCTTGGTAACTTAACTTACATCGTTTATGATAGTAACACAATTATATTATGAAATTTGTTAACCTATTATCATTAATAATAATCAATAGTCACGTTTAGGTAAGAGAAAACATCACTTCAAACTGACTTTCAAATCTCTTATATTCTCTATATTTTGTTAAAATGAGATATTTTACACACTAGTATTATTATTATAAATCTGTTCAATAAACACACATATATTTTGCGACAAGAAATAAATCTACTTTGGAACTACTAAACGTTATTCATAAGAGAAAACATATAAATAGAAACAACTTTTTTAGTTAAGTTTTCTCTATTATTCAACGAGCAGACGGAATAAGTGATTATCGCCGCTCATAGACTCATAACGCAAGTCATTTGACACTTGTCACTAACTCAACACATGTCAGATCCAGGTAAGCTTTATCCGTATACTTACAAAGTGTTCACACCTACCCTCTTTTAATTGCCAATTGTATACCTTAGTTTGTAATGTGCATTAGTATCACGCCGCTCGGCAAATGGCTTTATCTCATTCAAATGTGGTCTCATGTATGTAATTCTTTATGAGAATAAAGTTTCTTAAACCTGATTTGAGACTCCCCTCAGTGTAAGAGAGAAGTAAGGGGGGGGGGGAGCCTGATTAGTAAGGGAGAGGGGAGGGTGAGTTATGTGGGTTGATATGGCTCTGCCTACCCTTTTGAGGATAGAGGCATAAGTGTATGAATGTTATAGATAGATTATTAGACTTTTTCGTTTTGTCTAAACTCTTTTAGGTACAATAATTATATGAGCATTTGCATTTTTCCACTGATCTTTGACTCGTAGAGAAAATTTTATTTTCTTATCTACTTTTCAGGGTACCGGACCCAATTCTACTTACTACTAAATTAAAAACAACGAAAAATAATTATTGTACGGAACTAGTCCTTAGCGAGTTCAACTCGCAAGTCACCGGTTTAAAAAAAGTATATATATGTTTTCTCTTATAAATAAAGCATAGTGGTGAATTAAACATAACCTTTTGAATTTATGTCACAAGGTATACATGTCTGCTTACCCACTAGTATAAGCACAGCACTCAACAAGATCATAGAAGAATACAATAAAATAAAATAAAATTTTATAAATACTGCAAGTTTTTATAAAATGTTACTTTTAATTCATATACTACCCCTATATCACCCCTATCCATCCCGTGGGTGTCGTAAGAGCCGACTAAGGGAGAAAACTATACGCAGAATATCAGCACTGCAGAGAGAAGGAAAACTTGACACAAGCCCTATACTAACCCGTCTGGCCAGCGTGGTATAGTAGGCCAAAACCTCATTTCTAAGGAGAGGCCTATGTCCAGCAGTGGACTATTAAAGGCTGTTGATGTGATGACTTATAGAGTGATACAAACAGATGCTGGTCATATATTGGCGTTGTATACTAAACCGCTTAAATAACGTAAAAAATATTTTAAATGTAAAATATCTAATGCGGAGGGTGAGACCGGCTGTTGGCGTAGTGACCCATCGCCACGGCATGCGTCGCCATGTATATGTACCATGTAATACGGTGTGGCGACGCATCATCATCGATAATCTTTTTTTTTTAACTGAATATTATGTTTTTAATTTTGATGCATTTATTATTAACTTTCATAAGCTATCTTTTATACTCGTTATTTCTAGAAATTAATTTAGATGTTTCACATCTGCCAACTTTTTTTAATACATTAGAAACTGATAATCTTGCAAATTAACTGATAATATTATTTAATTAAAAGTGATTTCAACTATGTCAAAAACTAAGTTTTTTTTTTATTTCAAAACTATTTTTATCCAGCTTAAGTTTATAGTGTAGGCAAATAGACATTTGTGATCAAGGTTGTGAGTTAGAACCTCACCCAGAAAGGCTTGTACATGAAAACCACTTCCGCAGTCGTGTAATCCATACTAATATTATAAATGCGAGTGTCTTTCTGTCTGTCTATTACCTCTTCACGCTTAAACCGCTAAACCGATTTAGATGAACCAATTAGATATAGAGATAGTTTGAGTTTTGGGAAAGGACATAGGATAGTTTTTATCCCAGCAATCAGCCTTTAAGGGGGTGAAAATTTGTATGGGGAAACAATAACCGCTGAACCGATTCATATGAAATTTGGTATGGAGATAGTTTGACTTTTGAGAAAAGACTTGGCTACTTTTTACGGCGACAAACAACATACACGTGGGCGGAGCAACGGGCAAAAGCTAGTACATAATAAATATATAACCGACATCTACTGCAGTCTTAAAAAAAAAACTTTATTATTGACATTTCATAAGAAATTCTCTCTATTTTTAATTGTCATTAATTCTTGAACATTGCTGTGTTTACACTTGTGGGTGTTATCACCTTGCCCCTCCGATATAAATGTATATTAAACATAGAATAACAATATTTTGATATTTAATTCAAATTACAATTAAACATTCGAGTGCTGAATATATTAAATAGGCTGCAAAATAAACAATTAAATAACAAAAAGTATGACTGTCTACAATGCGCCCGCATCATGAACGGTATTCTTCATTTCGTAATTGTCACCCTTAGGGATAGCATTTAGTCTGAATGGGACCAAAAGGGAGCCCTTCCAAATCAGTTCATAAATGATAGAGTTCTGTGATAACAAACATTAAAAAAAGAAATATGAATTATTCAGTATATAAAATATGAATGTTCTTTGAATTCATGCATTTGAAACAGGGGTACCTAAGTGACTTTTTTTAAATCAATACCTCCCTACTTATGTTTAAAATGTAAAAGTAGGTTTGTTTGTTTGTTACGCTTTCATGGTTGGTTGGAGATTTAAAAAATCGAATGTCTTAGAAAATGCTCTTCGCTGCGCTCCTCTAGGTCTGAGCTGAAAGCCAATTCTCCTAATAAAAGTTCGGTTCAGTTCCGATCAAATTTCAATCTCACAACTGTCATACAAGATATTTTCGTGGTAAAGTATTAAACATCTAAAGTTGACTGTAATGTAATTATATCGTATTGTAACTGAAAATTGAATCGGTAATCTGCTAGTCTTAGTGATACTTTACTATTTTACTACGAAAATATATTTTTTGACAGTTGTGAGATCGAAAGTTGATCGTAACTGAGTCTAGACCGAACTGTTATTACGAGAATTGGTCAACACTGAGCGCATTCATTGGTCGAAACGAATCATCATCTGTCTACCTTTATTCTAATTTTATTTGGGGTCTGCGCAGTATGTATGATTCTTCAATTCCACTCAATAATTCGTCAATTCACTGTTTACTCCCTTTATAGCCATATCTCCACTCACACAGTCCACCTTTTCTCTGGTCTTCCCCTTCTCTCGTACCTTTCAACTCAAATAGAAACACTTTCTTTGCCACATTTTTCCATACCTCTGCATGACATGTCATTGGTTGAAACAAATTCTGTTCCATTTCATGAAATCAGTCAAACAGATTGCAGGAAAGGAAAATTTTACACATTGAAAATGGTGCCTAGCATTAAATTTTACATTAAAAAGTTGTAAGTAAGTTGTAAGTTATATGTATGTCTCCTAGTATATATGCTATTGCTGCAATTATAATTACGAATGTTACTATTACTAAAAGCTTATAATTTTCAATGTTGTTTTATCTGTTTTATCGTGTATATATGATTTATTAATAAATTAAGTGAAAATACATTAATTTTGTATATATACGGTCGAAACATCAAGCAATTCTAATGTGTAATAATAACCTCACACATCTCACTCACGGCCGTCTATCCTAAACTAGGCAGAGCCTGTACTATAGCAACCAGACTGTTGATAAACATACTTATATCTTTGTAAATAAAATAAAAGTTCGGTCACAGTTCATCATCATCAATCATCATCAACAGCCATTAATAGTCCACTGTTGGACATAGGCCTCTCCTTAGAAAGGAGGTTTTTCAGTCACAGGTCACAGTTCAGTTACGATCAAGTCGCGAGCAACTGTTTGAAAGGTATTTTCGTACTATACTAGTACAGTATTACTTATTACCGATTATAGTACGTTATAATCACATTAAAGTCAACGTTGGATGTTTAATACTTTACTTAGAAAATACCTTTTATGAAAGTCGTGAGATCAAGAGTTGATCGGAACTGAATTGTGACCGAACTTGAAGTACGAGAACTGGCCTTCATATATTACATACCTACCCTTTGAATTGCCTGACGCTACGACCAGGCTGCACTGGACTAGTCACAGGTTGACTAGCCGTACACGTAGCCCTTGTATACACGTACTCGTATAATTAATTATATCATTAAAACTATAAATTTCAAAAATTATATTATAGCTGTCTTTGAAAGTAAAAAAAATATATTCCGCACTCGATTGTTATCTTTTAAAAGGGTGGGGGTGGAGGGTGGCGGGGGTAATATTACTATTAATCCTGTAAATGTTCTATTGATTCAAATAAACCACATAACACTTATAACATAATTTCTTTAACGAGACCTATTTCGTCTCACAAATACAGTTCACGGGTCTGAGTAATGTTTTTAGTTACCGATGTTTCGACCGAATCGCACTGACTTTCGTCTTCGTAAACACGTTATAGGTGGTGGCTAAGCCGTTGATGAACGTCAGCGCGATAGAACAGCCGGCCTGAAACAAACATTTAATAGTTAGTAGCAAAAGTAACAGAAATACCAGGCCACCAGGCCATCCATTGTAGATGACCTGGTGGCAAAAGTAGCATAAACACATAATAGATCAAAATTAAGATACCTATTTAGATAGAAGTTAAGTGAAGAAGATAGTTAAGTGCTAATCGAGAAGGTTAGCACAATGCAAAGTTAAGGAATCCTACCCAGGTCAGTTTATGGTTGGATGACCATTGTTCACACATTGAGACCCCTCCGTGCCTCGGACAGCACGTTATGCCGTTGGTCCCGGTAGTTGGAGCCCTGAATAGACAGTCAGTAGACAGAAAGCCGAACCCAACTTAGTTTAAGAAAAGGCTCGGAGAATGACCTCTATGTAACATAGGTCATCAAATATAAGTTGAACTGTCATTAGATGGACTTTCCATACAACCCTTTGCACATAATTTGTTTTGTTTAGCTGTTGTTTTTTTTTTAAAGACAACTCCCGCATTGGGAATATATCCTGTCACCCAGACTCAGAACAACAATTGGTGGATCACACAAAGTGTCGTCCCATGTGGGGATCGAACCCACAACACTGAGCGTAGTAGGAAGCGGCGTGGCGACCGCTTAAACCACTGCGCCATCCGTGCAGTGCGTTAATTTGTATTTAACATATTGGTTAAAACATGTTTTGTTTCTTTTTCTGCCAGTTAACTTTAAGTAATAATTTTCACATTTCTTCATAGGTAAAAATAATTATATAAGTATGTCTGGTTACCTAGTACAGGCTCTACCTAGTTTTGGGATCAGGGAGCCTGGTGTGAGTTTATTTCACATCAACTCGATCGTCACGGTTAACACCTTGCGCGTTGCGATTGGCCCGCCATGAACTCTTCACCAATCGCAACGTCGAAAGAAATAACGTCAAAACTTGTCCCAAAGACAGTCGTGTGTGTGATGTGTGAGGCAAAAAAAACACATAGCTTATACCGGTATTTAACAATGTGTATCGTGTCGGTGACGTCACTGCGGTTGCTTATGACGTCATCATGTCGTTAACGTTGGACCCGCTGACTCCGGCGGTGCCCTTCAGTAGATCGTTGATGTCACGACGGAACATCGACAGGTTCTGAGTAAACCTGTAAACAATAGGGCATTAAGCAATTATGCTTTTTTTATAGTATTGAGGGGTTATATTTGCCTCCTGGAACAAGGCACCTGGTGTTAAGTCACCTGTGTTAAGCCATCTTTAACTCCAGAGACACAAGTGCGTTATCGCCATTTATGTGGCTAAACTCCAGGTTTAATGGAGGGAGAGATGGGTTTCATTTCGGTAACTTCACCCACTCGGTGCAAATCAATGAAAGAATTGGTTAACACTGGCTTTATGTGGGGTCGTGGTAGGTTGGCATGGCTCTTCCACAGCTTACTGTAGCAGGTTTAAAAATAAATGAAACCCCCAGGATCAGAGGTGGAAGCGGATCCTTGAAGGTTTCATCATCATCAACGTCCTTTACTAGTTCACTGTTGGACATAGGCCTCTCCTTAGTCAGGGGGTTTTGTCCTACTATTGGTCTAGAAGGTTTAGGCTTTAGTAAACACTCCACTCCATCATAAGATGGAACATAATTTCAGGGATTTACCAACCAATCCAGGTCCAGGTACAATCATGCCTGCCAGACAGGTTTTAAAAAATGTTACAAATAACTTTTAGCAGACTTAAATGGAAATTCCTTTAATAAAATTACACTTATAAATATTAACGATAATAAAATAGTGAAACGTTACATCACCTGTCTCTATTCTTAGTGAGTAGGTTAGGTTCGATGCCAGCCATTAGCCCGTTGAACCAGTGCGCCAGTTGCGCCTGCTTCTCCCTGGGCTGCTGAGCTATCATGTCCTGTCGGATCCTCGCGAACTGCTCCTCGTTCAGTAGGATCAGACCAAGGAGTGGCCTTGACATTGACCACTGGTTACAACCCTCTTCGAACATTATAACGTTTAATACCTGAAATTAACAACATATTGAAATGAGAAAAAAATAACATTTTGTTGGGTACAGGATCTTATTTTCAATATTATTTTCGACTGGCCTTTCCGTCAAGAGATTAGTGACCCTGACAGCTAAGCCGGAGGTCATGGGGGTTTGATTCCCACCCAGGACAAATAATTGTGTTATGAGCACGCTTATTTGTTTTATGTCTGGGTGTAATTTATGTTTAATATATGTATTTAGAAATATATAAGTATGTTTATCAATAGTCTGGTTACCATAGTATTAGCTCTGCCTAGTTGTGGATCAGACGGCCATGTGGGAGATGTCAAATTATAAGTAGAATATACTCACGGTGGCTAGCAACTGTTGCATGATCTCGGGGCGGCGCTGGAGCACTTGTATGAACATGTTGCTCGCCTCCGGGGGCGGGTGACGTGGGTTTGGTACCTTGTTACTAGCTGCGGCCGAAAAATAGTATCCTTTAAAATATTTGCTAAATACTGTGCTACTCGGTGTGACTGAACTGGGCCTCAATTCTGCTATTTTATTTTAACGTACAACCACTGTTATTCCATTGATACGCTATTGAGATACTATTGCCATCGGTCAGAATATCAGTATTCTACTAACATAAATTCTGTGTCAATAGACTGTGGATGTAGTGACAATGGCTCATGAATGGCGAACATTGCTATATCTGGAAAAATAAATGTTTCATTTCCATACAAAGGACATGGCCAGTTTCTGCCTAGTTTTTTGGTAGCATGTACATTAATAACAGCCTTATGATAAGAAAATAAAAAAAAAAATATAAATTATGGCATCCTTCATATTTCTGTCTAACTTCCGAGTGTTAACACAAGATTAAAGAGTTTTTTTTTGATTTCCTATACATTCAGGTTCTGCGCCATTTTGAGAAAACGTGTTTCCAGTAAAAGTAATGTTTACGTATAAAACCAGCGTAAATATGTAAAAATAATTACGTTGGTTCAAAATAGTACTAAAGATTAAAAATCAATATAGTAATGATATTTATGTACATATATAAAAATATTATAAATGATTGTTATTAATTCATAATAATTATACTTCTTTGTGATTTGCTAAACAAAACGTAATGCTATGTTATCATGACAGCGGATCTGTCACTATATTTTAGAATTTTGGCACTTTGCTCACGTTGTATTATTTATACAAAAGTACCTACCTACTTTGTGTATTATTTACGCTTGCGTTTTTGTGTGAATAGTGCGATTTTCAACGTTTACCCATAATTATAACGACCATTGCTTTTCTTCACGGACTGATTAGATTGCCAAAACGTTATTTTGAGTGCTTGTTATTACCGACTTGATTTTATGTACGTTTCGAATATTGTTGAATAAATATTCAATTATGAGGTGTATTAACTGCGGGATAGCCACGGGACGGTTAAAACGACAAAAAAATCCTCGTTAAAAAATACTTTTTCAGGATAAACTTAAGCATGTTTTACCGACTGGAAACCGAACTAGGGCCACTTAATTCAAACGCACTTACTACCACGGTCGTCTTTAAAAATAATATCGTATTTATTTTTATTATGTATCCATTTAATACCTTTTCAGTGCTCCGAACGCCTGTAGTTTTTATGAAAGCAAAACAGTTTCTATGAACTCATTGCTTTTAAGTTTAAGAAGGATTAAAACATGACATCCTTTTATGTAAATATCTAAAAAATCTGAAGTACATGGAATATGTAACATATACATTATATTTTTTAGGACAAATTTAATTCCAAAAAGCAAAATTTCGTTAATGTACATGAACTTTTACAAGCTAGGCAGAGGGCCTTGTATAAATTGGCCATGTCCTTTAAAATGTACCGTCTACCACACTATTACAAAGACAGCGACAACATTTGTATCAGTATTGTTCAGTGACAAGTCATCGGGAGGCCATTGGTCTTACATAGTTTATTAGAATACGAGAAGTGCAAAACTATTTCGACGACAGTCTATTGATACAATATCAAAATGGCAGAATTAAGGCCCTATTGGTCGACCAGGTGGTAAGTGACCTTGACCCAAGGACAAATAAGCACGATCATTTGAATGTATTTCACATGAGTGTGTCGAACTAATGATTGGCGCGGCCGAGGAGCGGCAACACTCTAAATGTTTCTTATAAGGTAAATCTGTTGTGTACTTCATATATAGGAAACATACAATGCATAATACAAACATAAATAACACAGTGGTATAATGGGCGGCCTTATCGAAGTCTGCGATCTCTTACATGCAACCTTTAGATGGACTATACTATAGAGTATATAGTTTGTGATGCGCATTTACAATATTTAATGAGTACTATCTTGTGCCTGCCCCTTGTGTTCGATTCCCGGACCAGGAAAAATTTGATAGTGTTTTTCGGAGAGAAAAAATAGCATAAGTTACTCCTTATATAGATAGCTACCTAGTAGTAAAATATTATCAAAATTGATGCAGCCGTTTTGAAGATTACCCGGAATAAACAGACAGAAACACAGACAGTCAAAAAATATTTTTACTGGTTTTTAGGCATAAGTATCGTGCAAATAACCGTGAGAGCATGAAAAATACCTATTATTTTGCCATTGCAAACAGACACTTCAATTTTATTTGATTGTATAGATATAATGACATAGTTATACATACATATACGTAATTAAATATTTTGTAGCTTCATATCTAAAGCGTGAAGTTAGCCTGACCAGTTGCGATTTTAGCTTAATGTAAAGCTTGCCAAACAATTTAGGCATTCTTCGTGATTGACCTGACCTTTTTCTAGATGAAAAATATTGTTCCGCCACAGGATTAAATGGTTCGATTGTATTAAATATGGAGGACAGAGCGCCATCTAGTATCGACTAAAGTACATCTATTAAGATTGTGGTTAATACGAGTAGTTCTGATCCTTACAGTGCTAGATGGCGCTGCGAGTAACGCGTGACTGATTCTGGAATATTCGTGTTTGTTTGGAACGGACTGTCGAATACTAGGAACTTTCTATTAAAATTCAAAAGCGCTATAAAAGCGGAGCGTGTTGACAGTTTCGTTTTACGACGAAGCGAATTAACATCGGAGTGAATTTCTAGTGCAACTAACAAGATATATAGTGATTTCTAGTCTATTATAGTAAATATTTGTAAATACAGTGAAATAAAGTAATAAACCGACAACTTTTATTTATTATATACGACGCTCGCAATAATATTGTGTCACTTCTGTACCCATACACGCATACTTATATAATTTATTGATGATCAGTTGATTATTTATAGCTTGAACGCACACAACATAACAAATAAACATACATCCTATTTATAATAATATGTGGAACATGGATAGTTTTAACAATATATATTTTATACTTACATTTCTGTACTAACTGCTTAAAGAGATATGTAACTATGTGATCTAAGGTGGCGCAGCATCCCGTGCACACGCTCGTATCTGTAACACGACGTATTATTAGATATCTATCAATAATAACATAAAGGAGCGATCAGTAAGGTAAAGGGATCTTAGCGCAGGATGATTTTATCACGGATGATCATAAAAAATGACAAAATGCCATGCTTCAGATAATACTTGTTTTTTTTTTTGCAGACCTCTCATCTGATGGTAAGTGAGAACCGCCGCCCATGGACAACTGCAACTCAAACAGTCACAAGTCCTCTTTTGGGTCCTACTCACCCAGAACCAGGAGGAGCGGAGGGTTTGGGTTCCGGTAACCTAACTCATTCCGTGTAGTGACGGATTTAGAATACGGAGTGTCACCACCCCCATTCATCCCGTGGGACAGTCGACTAAGGGAACTGACTACGAAAGATAACAGCACTCCAAAGAGAAGAAAAACTTTAAACAACCCCTATACCAGCCCGTCTGGTTAGCGTGGTATTGGTATAGTAGGACAAAACCTCTTTTCAAAAGAGAGGCCTATGTCCAGCAGTGGTCTATTAAAGGCTGTTGATGTGATGTGAACCTAACTCACTCACTCACGCAATACCTGGCGTTGATATGAAGAGTTTTTAGTAGAGATAGTGATGGTTATGAAATGGTTAGGCATACTTTCAAAATACCCGTAAGTACTTTTTTATTTTATAGGCGGCTTAAGAGTAAAAGAGGTACTCGATGGTAAGTAGCTAACGCCATCCATGAATAACCCCCCAGAAATAGGGGGTAGTAGTTAGCCATTCGGTGACTTGACTCACTCGGTGAAAAGCAAAACAAAGAATTGTGTAACTGTTTTTCAGTCTTACACCAAAGCCGACATTAAGATTCTCTTACCTGGGAAGAAAACTTTCCCCCCCGTCCCTGACAGAACCGTACTCATCCGGATTGAAACGACCCATTAGAAATCCCGTATGAATCTTTGAGCGGTGAACCATCACTAGATGGAGATGGGGAACCGACTTGTCGTTTCGCTAGCTAGTCTCCGGCGAATACCTGTGATCGACTCACCGTAGTGACCCGCCAGGAGAACCACTACACACTGTTTCTCATCATGACCAGTAAAGAATCAAGTGTTCCACTCACCTAACGCCGTAAGACCCTCAGAAACAGAGCAAAGAATGTAGAGAGTCGCGTCGGGCTGTAGCGACGCCAGGAAGGACATGTGGTCTTGGGCCAGCCGCTCCAACAGAACGTAGTATGTTTGTGATAGTTTCGGATAGTCCTGCAATAATATTAAAATGTTGAGAAGTGTGGAAGGGCTAATCCGACTAGGTGAGGTGAGGTGAAGTGACAGGCCTGGATCATAGGTTCAAAGAGGTACTTCTTTAATCCATACTAGTCCATACTAATATTATAAATAAGAAAGTGTGTCTGTCTGTCTGTTAGCTCTTCAAGCTTAAACCGCTAAACCGAAATATGGTATAGAGATAGACTCCCCAGGAAAGAACATAGGATGGTTTTTATCTCAGAAATTTGTATGGGGAATCAATAACTGCTGAAAGGATTTAGATGAAATGTATCATAGAAATAGTTTGATTCTTGAGGAAGGACAATTACGACTACTTTTTACAGCGATAACCGGCATACACGCAGGCGGAGCCGCAGGCAAAGGCCAGTTTTATAATAAAAACTTTCTTGAATTAATATTTATTAAAAAAAAAGTGTGTGCAATTCACACACGGCAGAAGTGAAACTGCCGAATCTCAAAAAAACCCTATAAAATTTTACCCGGCCCGGGAATCGAACCCACTAAGCCAGCGTTTTTCAAATTCCACGCGAACAAAGTCGCGGGGTACCAGCTAGTATAAAAAAAAATATTCACACTGACAAAATATTATGCTATTCCATCTCATTCTCTCGCCTACTTAATTCTGTACATTTGTGTTTGTTTCTTTATCGTGACGCATTTTCGTTTCATCGAGTTCGACTCGAACTTGACCGGTTTTAACATACAACGTAACTCACCAAAAGATCACTCTGTGGTATACTTAATAATAGTTTCACGAACATATTGAGTGCGTTGTCTAACGCTTCGTCGCCGTACAACCTGGAAATAAAGTTTTGTCATTAATTAAATTGTACTGTTACAACACAACGTCCGTGTGGTGACGGATTGAGAATACGGAGTGTCACCACTATAAGAGCTGACTAAGAGATTGAACTCCGCAGAACAACAGCACTGCAAAGAGAAGGAACACTTGACACAAACCCTATACTTTGAAACATTAATGAAAAACCAACAAAAAGAACACCCAGTGTTTTCCCAAGTGAGGAGCGAACCCACAACACTAAGCGCAGTAGGAAGCGGCGAGATGACCGCTTATATAAACATTATATTAACTATATTAAATAGCTTACATTAACATATAAATATATATATATTTATATGTTGGTATAATAATGGTGATAACACAATAATTTTATCTGCATATGTCATCAATTAAAATATTATTATTAAAAACTTGGGTTTAATCCATACTAATATTATAAATTTAAAAGTGAGTTTGTTTGCTACGCTTTCACGCCTAAAACACAAAACCAATTTTGAAATTCTTTCACCAATGGAAAGCTACATTACAGCAAGTAATAAATACACGTGGCGGAGCCGCGGGCAACAGCTAATATTTTATAAAAGGACAAGTTACCTAAAAACACCAAAGTTGGCGTAGTTCCCGCAGAGCGCCGCCTTCAGTATTGAGAAACATAATGATATTCCCTTCAGCTTCAGCGCATATAGTTGCTTCTTGTTTACTTCCACGGTCAATATTCGACTACCTGTTACCAAATAATAATGTTGAAAATTCTATAGGCATCCAGTAGATATATATTTTGACCTGTAATATTGTACCTGTAATTTAACAAGTCTATACAATGACAGGTCAAGTTATCCTGGGCAATGAAAAAGAGACATTTAGCATCCCACGCTTATTACGATTATTTTTTTCAACCACATTTTTTTTAAGCTATAGAAAAATTCGTGACTAGTTTTTGTTGATATTTAGGTGGAAATAAGAAAACGTTTTTGAGAAAATGCAACGAACGTGTATTCTTAGTAGAACAGTTACAGGCTTAAAAGGGACACAGAAAGAAAAAGTGTTGCTAACTTATAACAAATGCGGTTGCATTCTTATTTATAAACAGTTTTTAGCTCGGCTCGTAACAAAGGCGTGTTTTTTTTAGTTTTTGAACTTTTTTATTGTTTTTTTTCTTTTTAAAAAAGGCAACTCCCCCATTAGGAATAAGTATATCCTGTGTCGCGAGGGACTTTCCAAACATACATGAAATGGACACAAAGAAGACCCAGACTCAGATCAAAAATTTGTAGATCACACAAAGTGTAGTCCGATCGCACCCACAGCACTTAGCGTAGTAGTAAACCACTACGCCATCCGTGCAGAACTATTATTTATTTCTGTTTGTTTTTAGTATTTAATGGTTAATTTCATCATTAAATACTAAAAAGTAACAAGTAAGTAAGTCACATATGCTTCAGTACGTGGCACAAGACACTACCGTATGTTTTGATATGGAAACATCGTTAATCTTGAAGATGTTGATCAGGACACAATATGCCACAATATTTATTACATTGAACATGATCGATTTCGCCTCTCGGCATTATGTAAGGGTATTATGACAACTAACTGCAAGTGACTTAATTCAATATGTGTGGCAAGTTCCACAAAGTGCCAAAAGTTAAGTGCAAAATGATTATTTTTTTCCATCACGGATTTATTATGATATGAATAGAGGCGGTTGGCGGAAGATACGAGCTTCCCATTGGACGGCTGTGGTGGTGGGGTTAGGTTAGAATTTAATTTATGACATCAAATTTTGACTATTTAATAAACTATTTTATGATTGTTTACTTGATTTTGTGACATGTCTTAATTTTAATCTCAAACAATAAAGTAATGTAATAATTTATTCAAATATTAATTAATTTATTTATTTTTAAGTAAATTGTAATTGATGCTGACAGGTTTTCTGAAATAAATTATATTATTATTATTACCCTGTGTGACTCAACTCAATGAACTCACCATAAGCGCATATGATATTCGACAGTTCTCTGAAGAGCAGTATCCCGTTTGGAGAGGACACATCGAAGTGTAACCGCTGGTTCCTGTTCTGTGCCAGTTCTGCGGTGAGTTTCAGGACGGGTGTGGTGAGTGCCGGCTCCGAGTACCACACCTCTACGCCTCGCAGTAACACTTTCATGTACACTGGATATCTGGGAAGATAATGAATAACATTAGACGCATAACACGTGTAGTAACTTTTATGGTTTAAATCTATTGGATGCCTCGGAGAAAACGTTAAGCGTCGGTCCCAGTTGCCATACGAACATCTGTGGCAATCGTTACGGGTTTGGAGCCCTAAATAGTCCATCAAGTCTATCTACAGAACTTCGATATCGCTTAGTACTTGGGTTGTAGCGTAAAATCGAAGTTCAGCCATATAGTAGCCGACCCCAACCTAGTTTGTGCAAAGACTCGGACGAAGAGGTTTCAAACGATTAAATATAAAAGTTCGAATTTTCATCTTCATTTATAAAATGACATACCCTGACTTACAGATTTAGCCACCCACAGCCTAAACCGCTGGGCTACAAATTTGAATTTTTTACAGCTGATGCTTTGTATGTTGTTGGAATGTGTTTTTGAAAATTTCACCCCTAAAGGGGTAAAATAAGGGATGAATAGTTGTATGAAAGTACGTCCCTTTCGAAGTTAGAAACACGAAATAAGAAATAATAACGCTTACCGTAGAACGTATTTTTTTTCTTGGAATAACACTATTGAGAACCATCAAAAAATTACGTCCCGGTTTAAGAGTTCAAGTACATACACACGTAAAGAAGAATCATATACATAAAAATTACAAAAACAACACATACAGTCATCATCATCAACAGCCTTGTCCACTACTGGACATATAAAGGAGCTGCTAAGAAAGGCGATTTTGGCCCACTATACCACGCTGGGCACACAGGTTGGTAGAGGGTTTGTTTCAAATTTTCCTTCACAGTGCTGTTGTCTTACGTAGTTTGCTGTCTTAGTCGGCTCTTACGACACCCACGGGGTGAATAGGGGGTGGTGACACTCCGTATTATTTTTTTTTTTTTTTTTTCTAAAAAAGACAACTCCCGCATTAGGAATATATCCTGTGTCGCGGGGGACTTTACAAACATACATGAAACGGACACAAAGAACACCCAGACTCAGAACAACAATTTGTGGATCACACAAAGTGACGTCCCATGTGGGGTTTGAACCCACAACACTCGGCGCAGTAGGAAGCGGCGTGGCGACCGCTTATACCACTACGCCATCTGTGCAGTCAATTATAATATAAATATTAATCCGTCACCACACGGACAATACAGTATCACCTTATATTGTGTGTCATCACCGAAGCCGTTGGATAGTACAGGACCGGTTGTTGTGGAGAGCCTAGGGGAGCCGCGCGGTACAATTTGTTTTGAGTCGAATAAACCCGTGTATGGCATCGGATGTTTCACATATAGATATAGACAGACTCAAGATAGCACAGTTATAAACTTTTTTGGGGTTTTAGTTGCTATTATTGTATTAGTCACTGTAATAATTTTTTGAAAACAATAAAACAACTCGATGTACCATAAAGTACAAAAGCGGTTGTCATCAGTAACCCGTCGCCCGTTTGCCCCCTGAGTTATATAAAAAAGATACAAAGTTCGTGCTAGAAGAGTTAAATTAAGTTTAGCGATAGCTCCCGGTGTAATTTAAATCATAATTGTTCACTTACATCCAATCGAATAGCATCATATACATTGTTTTGCTGTTGAAAGCGAACGCTAGCCCTCGTAGGTCTCTAGCGAGTCCAATAATAGTCTTCTTAGCATCTTCTGAACCAAACATCGGGGACTCCGGCCCGCTTAGCATTCCTATTATACCCTCGAAGGCAGCTGTAAAGAGATTATTTATTTAAAATTTCATTCGTTTTTGTACAAAGATAGGCCAGGGCATCCTTTACCAGTTAACCTTGGGGTGGCGTATACTGATGGTAACTACTGCCGGGGTGGACACCAGCAACTAAAGAGCTACAAGTGTGCTGTTGCCATTTGCGTCCCCTTCCCAGAATCAGAGGATGGGAGGTAAACGTAAATGAGTTTGTTTTATAACCGCCTTCAAAAAGGTGGAAGTGTCCAATTCGGATGATTTTTTTTTTGAAAGGAAAATCTTTTTTTGTTCGAAAGGAGTTTATTTCAAAATGGTCCCTTTTAAATTTCATATAGATCTGACGATGAGATTCGGAGACAGACAACGGAACTCTTCAAAAAATGACAGTAACTCTATCGCGATTGCTGCTAGGTTTGTAGTGCTCTTTGATAGTATTGTTTGAAGTCAGTTCATATCTTTTTTTTTAATTATTTCAATACGAATACAGATAATTTATTACAGTTAATGGTATAATTTGACCAGTTCATGAGCTGAATCGTTTCTATCAAGTCTTTGTCTTTCGGTCTAACCACAGTCATTTGGAAGGTGGAGATTGTTTAACAGTTGAGTGGTTCAATTAACTTATTGTTACTGAACGGATAGTGTACCTGTTACTCTGCACATATGGGATGGGTTTTGATGTTTTTATGGCACAGGAATCATTCGTTGTTAACAAAAAAAGAAGAAATCCTCACTGACCAGTAAGAGGCATCATAAATTGTAAGAACCGATCCTCGTCTTCTCCAAGGTCCACCATGAGTAGACGACCCAGCGCTGTGTAGAGCATGCTACGACATCTCATCTCCGCTGTTCCGACACCGGCTATACCCAGGAATGGAAAGTGTTCAGCCTGGAAAACAATTAATAACATATTGTTACGAACCTTCCAGAAGGTTCATGAACCGCGAATATTGCAATAATAACTCAGGGCGGCATGGGGGTGTGAACTATTGCTATACGCATAAGATCAAAAACAGATTGTCGCCTGATTATGTTTAAATGGTGACGGATTAAGAATAAAGAGTGTCACCACCCCTATTCATCCCGTGGATGTCGTAAGAGCCGACTAAGGGAGAAAACTACGCAGAACAACAACACTGCAGAGAGAAGGAAAACTTGACACAAACCCTATACCAACCCGTCTGGCCAGCGTGGTATAGTAGGCCAAAACCTCCTTTCTAAGGAGAGGCCTATGTCCAGCAGTGGACTATTAAAGGCTGTTGATGTGATGTGATGATGTGATTGTTTTCTAGAAAACCTTTCTAGATATATCAAGGTCTAGTGAGAGAATATAAATAAGGATACATTTTCACTGGTAACAAGGTTCAGTTAGAGCTACAGTATGATAAATCTGAAAGTGATCTAAGCTAACAGAAGAGTATCGGCGATCATTTTGGACTTGTTTAAGTGTCTTCGTAAATAAAGTCTCTTACGGCGTCATAAGGTATTCCAAATAACGAACCGCAACATAATGTTCTCGTCAGTCTTCAGAAGAGTCATTTTAAAATATTACAACCGTACTTTACATACGGTAGACACAAAATCAGGAGAATGCCGTCACATAGACTCTAATTAATGAATACTCTAATACAGTTATAATTATTTAAAATAGAGTTCATCAGAAAAGTGTGTTTAGATAAACAGAGGAACTAAAAAAATATAGGGTATTTATATTTATATAAATAAAAATGAATTGCCAAATGTGTTGCTAACCACAAATCTAGAGAACGGCCCGACCAATTCGGTTAATATTTTGCCATAATTTTTTTAAGGCTCATGGACGGTTCTTATGGCGAGAAAAAACGTAAAAATTGTGAAGAAAATAGTAAAACCCATACAAAACCACGGAGTAAAGTAAAACACGTGTCTCCGGCTGTCAAACAAAACAAAGACGCGTTAGGATTATCTTCGGTATGCCTTTAATTTGATAAAGGTATTTTTTTTTTTTTTTTTTTTTTTTTAATAAGACAACTCCCGCATTAGGAAAATATCCTGTGTCGCGGGGGACTTTACAAACATACATGAAACGGACACAAATAACACCCAGACTTGGAACAACAATTTGTGGATCACACAAAGTGTCGTCCCATGTGGGGTTTGAACCCACAACACTCGGCGCAGTAGGAAGCGGCGTGGCGACCGCTTAAACCACTACGCCATCCGTGCATGGTGCAAAGGTGTATGGATATTAATCTATGCCTGTCCCAAATAAAGTTCTAAGGAAAGTGATCACTTTTTTTTTAATATGCGACAGACCAGTAACTATTAACAGAACGAAGTTTTACAATAGAAATAAAATTGTACTTGTCTTATTTTATATGTATTCTGTATGAACTCCGTATGGTGACTGATTAAGAATACAGTGTCACCATCCCTATTCATCCTATGGGTGTCGTAAGACCGACTAAGGGAGAAACCTACGCAGAAAACCAGCACTGCAGAGAGAAGGAAAACTTGACACAAACCCAATATGTATGTGGTATAGTAGGCCAAAACCTCCTTTCTAAGGAGAGGTTTATGTCCAGCAGTGGCCTGTTAAAGGCTGTTGATGTGATGATGTGATGTATGAATTTATATTGTCACTTGTTAGGGTTCGTTGATTTGGAATAATAAACCTTCTGACGACTAAAGAGACTTTGTTACTAACACACTTAAGAACGTTGACTTACTGAAGAATAATAATATAATAATAATAATAATAAAATTAGATAATAAGAATAGTAAACCTCCATGGCAAATAAGACTAGAAAAAGACATTGAACAACTTAGAGCAGATTGCGGCAGACTTACCCAATATATCAACAACAACAGGTCAAACAAAATAGTTAAGAGAGTAGAACAAATTTTTAGAAGACAAAGCACTCACACTAGACACGAAAATAATAATAGAAAACCCGAAGAATACCTAGACACATTAAAACAAAAATTAGCACTTAAAGTACATCGACTGAAAAGATATAAAAAAGCACAACAGCGTAAAAATGACAACATGTTATTCACCCTCAATGAAAAATCATTTTATAGAAACCTATCGAAACCACAAACTGCTACAACTAGACCCGAAAACATAGACATTCCTACACAGACACAACTTGAAACATTTTGGTCAGGTATTTGGGAAGAACCGGTACAACACAATGATAAAGCAGACTGGATTACAGAAGAAGAAAATAAATGGAATTCAATAGAAGAAATGGAATTTGATTGTATTACAGAAGACGATATTGCACACGTAACAGGTAAACTACACAACTGGAAATCTCCTGGCATAGATAAAATACATAATTACTGGTACAAAAAGATAACATCATTTCACAAACCTATAGCCAAAAACTTAACATATATAATTCTAGGGAAACAGAATATACCTGAATTTATAGGTATGGGTATAACATATATGCTGCCAAAAACCGCACACTCACCACAGCCTTCTCAATACAGACCTATCACATGCTTACCTACTATATATAAAATTCTTACATCAGCAATAGCCCACAAAATTAATATGCACATTGAACACAATCACAGAATAGCAGAAGAACAAAAAGGATGCAGGCGGGGACACATGGGATGCAAGGAGCAGCTGATCATAGACTCTACTATCCATAAACATGCTACTACAAAAAACAGAAACTTACACTGCACTTACATAGACTATAAGAAAGCGTTTGACAGCATCCCACATTCTTGGCTTATAAAAATTTTACACATCTATAAAATTAACCCTAAAATCACAGATTTTATGCGCGATATTATGAGCCATTGGAAAACCACATTACATCTAAATATGAATGATAGAACAGTCACGACCCGACAAATCTCTATAAAAAAAGGTATATATCAAGGTGATTCCTTGAGCCCCTTGTGGTTCTGTCTTGCCTTGAATCCCTTGTCTCATTTGCTGCAGCGATGTCAGGCAGGATATCGTCTGAGGAATTCTACAGAAGAAACTATTATTTCTCATCTCATATACATGGACGATATTAAACTATATGCAAAATCCGATAAAGAAATGACAAAACTATTACAAAATACAACAAAGTTTAGTAAAGATATAAATATGGAATTTGGACTGGATAAGTGTAAAACGTTACACATAATCAGAGGGAAAATACGCCCTGGGGACTACGCAGTGGATGAGTCAAGTACGATAGCAGCTATGGAGTCAACAGATTTATACAAATATTTAGGTTATAAACAACTTAAAGGGCTAGATCACACCTCAATCAAACAAATATTAGCTACTGAATATAAAAGTCGAACTAACACTTTATGCAAAACCCAACTTTCTGCTAAAAATCTTATAAAAGCATTAAACACCTACGCTATTCCAATATTAACCTACTCATTTGGCATTATAAAATGGACAAAAACTGACATAGAGCAAATAGAACGAACTACACGCACTACATTAACCAAACACAACAACCTACACCCTAAATCCGCCATAGAAAGACTTACTATCAAAAGAGAAAATGGTGGCAGGGGTCTAATAGATATTTATCATCTTTGGCAAAAACAAGTTTATAATCTAAAAACATTCTTTCGCACAAAATCACACACAAGTAACATCCATAAAGCCATAACTCTAAACGACTACAATTTCACACCACTAAACTTAAATGATCACACTGGAATACACAACCCTAATAACATAGACCCACAGGCAGACAAAATAGAAAACTGGAAAAAAAAGGTACTACATGGCAGACACCCTCATGATTTAGAGCAACCCCACATTGATACAATAGCGTCAAATTCATGGCTTAAAATTGGTAACCTATTTCCAGAAACAGAGGGATTTATAATAGCTATACAAGACCAAATAGTTAATACGAAAAATTATAGAAAATATATAATCAAAGATGCAACCGTTACAGATGATAAGTGCCGAAAATGCCACATTCAATCTGAAACCATTCAGCACATTACTGGAGCATGCATTACCCTCACACAAACGGATTATACACATAGACATAACCAAATAACTAGCATCATCCACCAAAAATTAGCACTCAAACATCATCTTATACAAAACACAAACACACCTTACTACAATTATACTCCTCAATCTGTATTAGAAAGTAGCTCACACAAACTTTACTACGACCGCGCCATCCTCACAGATAGAACCATCCACTATAACAGACCAGACATAACCCTACAAGACAAAATTAACAAAACCACCTACCTAATTGATATTGCAGTACCGAATACACACAATCTACAGAAAACCATCACAGAAAAAATTAGCAAATACACAGAACTAAAAGAAGAAATAATACGAATCTGGAGACAGGAGAAAGTTTACATAGTACCCATAGTTGTATCTACAACAGGAGTTATACCTAAACATCTTCACCATAGCCTTAAATTAATCAATTTAAATGAATCCGTGTATTTTAACCTACAGAAAGCAGCAATATTGAACACTTGCCGAACAGTCAGAAAGTTCATGGATATTGAAGAGAACGGAACAGCACAACACACACAGCAACCACCATCTACATCTACATAACAAAGACACACACCTCACTGTATTTACTTGGTTTTGGCCCGTAAATACAGTTGAAACCAGCCTTGAGCTGAGAAAAATTAAGATTACAAAAATAATAATAATATATCCCCACACACTCACACACGGCTGTCTGATCCCAAACTAGGCAGAGCCTGTACTATGGTAACCAGACTGCTGATAAACATACTTACATATTTCTAAATACATACATATTATAGATAAATTACACCCAGACACAGAATTAATGACCGTGCTCATCACGCAATATTTGTCCTGGGTGGGAATCGAACCCACGACCTCCGGTTTAGCAGTCAGGGTCACTAACCACTAGACCAACAGGCCCGTCTAGGTCCGGAGGTAGAATGGTCCGGAATGACCGCCGAGGTCGCTGAGTTACGCTCCTATTCGCTTCGATGTACCATACTCGCCAGACGTCTAGAAAGCTCTTTACAGATTATTCTAATCAATAGTGGAAATTTATATTTCTGAGAAATGCAAATTTGTTTCAAATGTAAACATGATAATATTTTCAATCTTATGCGTATTGTTATAGACTCATTGTCCCGTGCCATTAGAACTATTTCTGGAATTGAGCATTTAAATGAATTCTCGTTTTATTTCGAAATTTTTAAAATCGAATAATAACAACACTCACCGTGTGATGGGTCAACATGAACTGAACTTCGTCCAATTTCACCAGTTTCCGTACACAGGAGTATCCACCACTCAAATCGCTGAGTAGCCCAAGTGTCTTTGAAATTATCTGCTCTGATCGTCCCCAATATTTTAGATTAGTTATGCTGGAAATTAAAATAAAATATTATTATCAATGTAGTCACGATAACTGTCTAAGACGGACTAAAAACTGCCAACGAAACCACTGATCTTCATGAATTTCAATGGAAAATAGTACTAACAATATCATTAGCTTAGCCTTTTTGTCGCGAATATAATATACAGGATATGGTTTACACCGTAGAAGAGCCATCCTTCAGCACAAATGGGCCGGTTAAACCGGTGTAATACCACAGCCTCACAGATATCCGGTGTTAAGCAATTGTAAGTGATGTTAACGGGACTCAAACCGGAGTCTCCCCTTAATTTGGGGGGGGGGAAGGGGGGAAGGAGGTTTGTTCTCTACTAAAATTATAAATTCGAAACTCTGTGTGCATTTCACGGCTAAACGTTAACACATTTAAACTACTTGGCATGCCGATACTTTGATTCTTGAGGAAGGACATAGGCTACTTTTTACCATGCTAACCAACATACATGGGTAGCCGCGGGCATAAACGCATACTCATTTTATTTGTTACGCTTTCACGTCTAAACAACTAAACACATATTAAAAATTCTTTCACCAATGGAAAACTACATTGTCTGTGAGTAACATAGGTTACTTTTTAACGCGATAACCGACATATATATTTCACAACTCACATTTTCCTCATGAGAACACTGAGCAGTTGGCTCTCTTCTGAGAGCCCCAGGACATCAGTCAATCTTCTGTACACCTTGCTATTCTTCTGCACCTGATCCCCGACGTAGATCTTACGGAATTGCTCGAAGAATGACATCATTGCCAATTCCAGTTTCTCACATCCACCCTGTACACAGAAACATTATTATTATTTGACTGTTTCCGGTGGTGCTGTGGCAGCTTATGCAACTTCTGTGCCTGAGGTGGTATTTCCGGATCGCTTCAAATGTTTGTAAGATCTGCAAATATTTGTTATAATATTGTTGCACCATAGGTTTAAATGGTTCTTGTATTGTGTAGTTAGTTCGTGAACAATCAAGAGTCTTATGGAATCAGGAGGACAGCGCCATCTATTAACTAACTTTTTTTAATAACTTACATTGGCCAGCCTCGAGTCAGTTAAATCCATGAGCTGCAGAACCCTGCACACCAGTTCTCCGTCCATAGCGTCATTCTCTTCAGAATTGTTGACTGTAGCTCGACCGCCTATAGCGGCCCCTATGATGTACACTAGCCAAGTTAGCTGACCTGTGGGAACGAGGAACTTGTATTACAATCGATGTTTATAGAAATTGGTTTAGATATTGGCCAGCTTATGTCATGTCCTGGCAGTTACTACTTATAGGACTTAATAGGACTGTCTCGTCACCAAAACCATAATAATAATAATAACTTCAGGCACTGCCGACTGATCTTAAACTGGACAAACCCTCTATTAAGGTAACTGCACTGCTGAACATACCATACTTAAATATTTCTAAATATTTACATAATGTTAGATAAATTACACTTGGACATAGAACAAACGAATGATGGCACCAAATAAATTAAGGATAGCATTGTGGTTTTTTGTAGTTACCTCAAAGCTTCCTACTGTGTTGAGTGTTATGGGTCAATCCCCACATGTTCGATTCTCACAATTATTCTTTTGGGTCTGGGTGTTCTCTAGACATGGGACAAAATCACAGTGAACTGTGATTCTTCATTCGATTTTAGCCTACGTAGTTTAGGGTTGGTAGGCAGGTAGGTTAGATGCTGTTTAACAGTAAATCTAGTATTTTTTTTTTTAATTATTATGTAAGGAATGGTAGCTATATCTCATAAAATAATTACTAGATTTATTCTTAAATAGGGGAAATAAGGTCTTTATGCATCACTGTGGTTTGTTACACCTATGGTTGTCTGTATCGGTTTCATGAATGTGTGTGTGTGTGTGTGTGTGTGTGTGTGTGTGTGTGTGTGTGTGTGTGTGTGCGCGTGTGTGTGTGTGTGTGTGCGCGTGCGTGTGTGCGTGTGCGTGTGGCGGTCGCACTGACCCTGCAGCACGCGCAGCTGCTGCGGCTGCTGGTCGTGGCTGTAGGCGGCGGCAGCGCGGTCGAAGTGCGCCACGAGCAGCGCGCACGTCTTGCCGTACGAGCAGCGCCCGATCACCGACAGCTGCTCCAGCTGCTGCGCCACCGTACCCACGTCGTCCAGAGGATCTTCTAAATTCTCCCTGGAAACGACGTTAAACTACATTTCATCGACTGCCTTTAACAGACCACTGCTGGACACCTGTCTCTCCTTAGCATGGAGGTTTCATTTCTTAACTCTGGTTATCTGTGAGGCAGTGAAAGCACTCCACCGGCGAGGGCCTATATGTTAAATGACAAAAAAATGGTTTTCACTTTTTTTATCATTTTAAATTCGATCAGTCATTCATGTTCTACCTTTTTGACGTTTAACTGCAAGAAAATTTGACTTGACAAATTTGACCTTACCCAACAACACACTGTACGGAGTCAAGTCTGGAGCCAATGTAAGCGGCCGTGACTCCTGGTGCATACGACTCCAGCAAGTGAGGCTCACTCGCTTTGACGTAAGGAACTGACACCACCATCCGTTGCCATAGAGACAGGAGATAATGCACGGAGTTCGGCGCGAATTGCCACATCTGGAAATATAATCAACTTTTAAAAAATAGCAAAGACTTCACGGTGATGAATTTTAATAAACTGCTTTATTCCTACTTTAATTTATTTCGTATATTTTCTTATTAAAAAAAATATATAGATATATATTTGTTTCTGTTGGTTTCTGTTATTAAACTATAAACATTTATTAATTTTATTATTTTTATTTATTTATTTATTATTATATTCACATAAAAAAAATACACAATATATGTGAAGTCCCTGACTGCTGAGCTAGGCTCTTGGCCTGTGTTACAGAAGTCAGTGTCTTCTCCCATTATGAGGAATACAGAAATCTTATGCAAAAATAAGTGCAGTGAGATGAGTAAATGTGATGAAAGTGCGTAGTGTGGAGTATGCCGTGCGTTTGTGGTATGTATAGTATTTAAGTGTATGGATGTATATGTAAGTATGTATATGGAGTGAGAGATGTATATGGTCAGTTTTTAGTCTTTATGATAATAATTTTTCAGTTTGGTCATAGTCTATACCAAGCAACCAATTCTTTAATTTAATTTTAGCTTCGCGATTAGATAAGGGATGAATGTTCGTTAATTTATTTATTCTATTATATAAGAAGATAGACATGTAGGCATGTTGCCGTCTGGCAGAGGCTGTACGACAGGTGACGGATAAGCAAACATTTGTCATTGTACGCTTTCTATTATAATCCGCAGTATGGTAAGGAGTTTTCTTGTGTTGCTTTGAAAGTAATTGCAGTATATACAGTTGTCTTACTGTTAGTACTTCACAAGTTGCAAACAGAGATTTTGTTGGAAATCTGAACGGACTGAAAGTCATGACTTTCAATATTGATCTTTGTGCTCTTTCCAACCGCATCATAAATGTCTTACAAGCGCCACCCCAGACCACAATACAGTAAGAAAGAACTGACTGAACCAGAGCGTAGTAGACAGTGCGTAATAATAAAAATTCACATGCATGCCTCAATTGCTTGAATATCCATATAAGTTTTCTGGTACGAGCTGTTAACAGGTCTATATGGGGACGCCAACTTAATCTTTCATCCACCAAAACACCAAGATATTTCACATCCGTAGATTTAGCTATGGACGGACAAGAGCAGCCTATATTCAGTGTATTGTTACATATATGCGCCCTTATATCAACGTTCACAGGTTTAGTTTTAGAAATGGAAAATTGTAGGTATTTGGTTTTTGAAAGATTTAGAGTAAGTAAGTTTGTGGCAAGCCATCTGTTGACTCTTTGGAGACCCATTTCGGCGACACGCCCAACCTCATCCCAGGAGTCTCCATGGAAGACTAGGGCCGTGTCGTCAGCATAAGTGAAAATTTGACCTTTGTAAAGAGGTTGTTGACATAAGTCATTTACATATATCAAAAAAAGACTTGGTCCAAGTATACTGCCCTGTGGGACTCCACAAACCACTGGCGCTTCAGTACTTACATGCTCACCGATTTTAACTTGTTGCGTGCGGTCAATTAAGAAGTCCTTTAAAATCATAAGCGCGTTTCCACGAATACCAAGGCGATCCATTTTGTTCACAAGAATTGAAATCGAGACGGTATCAAATGCTTTGGCTAGGTCGAGGAATATACCTAAACATTTTTTCTTTGAGTCAACCTGAATGGATACATAATCCATTAACTTACTGACGGCATCTTCCGTACTTCTCCCCGACCTAAAACCATACTGTGAGTTTGATAGAATTTTATTTTGTTCAAGAAAATTCATGAGTCGATTGTTTATTAATTTCTCTAAAATTTTAGATAGTGATGTTAAAACAGAGATTGGTCTATAATTAGAAATTTCGTCTCGGTTCCCTCCCTTGTGAACAGGGGTTACAAGAGCTCTCTTGAAAACTTTTGGAAAGACTCCTTGCGTTAAGCACAAATTAAATAATTTAGTTAAAGGAGGGATTATTATGTGCTTAGATAATTTAAGTAATTGCCCAGGTATCGAATCCCAACCAGCAGCAGATTTGTTCTTAAGGCCCATTATTAAAGATTCCAGCTCTGCCTCATCTGGAGGAAGAAAAACTATACTATTTAGTTGACTAGGTATGTCAAAATTATATGAGGCAGAACTGGACTCAGCTGACGTGACGACCGCATCTGCTAACTGTTTACCGATGTTAGAGAAATAATTATTAACACGCTCTAAATCCTGTTCCACACTTAAAGAGGCATGCAGCAAGTCCTCGGCCGTAGCTTTGGGATTGCTATAATTGATTATTGATTTTATGGCATTCCAAGAGTCTTTCATAGTTTTCGCACTGACCAGCAAAGATCTTTCGTAATTTCTCTTAAGCCTTTTCAACAAAGAATTACAAAAATTGCGGTACCGCTTATAAGTTATGACAAGGGTGTTATTGTCCGGGTTATTTTTAGATTTCTTATGAAGCTTGTCCCTGTTTCTAATGCAACGCAGAAGTCCAGGCGTTAACCAGGGCTTAAATATTCGCTTCTGATTGGGGATATGGCTCGCTTTAGAGTTCAGGCGTATCGCAGTCGAAAGTTGTTCCACAAAAAGTGAAGCGGCTTCGTTTGCACACGATGAAGTAGTAATATAAGAAAAATCAGCTGCTTCAAGGTACTCAATACATTCCTGGAAATCAATCCGCTTGGAAACTTGTGCTTTTTTAAACTTGCATTGAGTTAAACTCATGTTTAGTACCACTGAAGCGTGATCTGTTATCGTTGAGTCGATGACAAATATTGTCGCGGGAAACACTGTTTTCAGAATAACATGATCCAGACAGTTACGCAGTCTAGTCGGATATGTATGGCCAGGTAACATACCTAGTTCAGCTAATAAATTTAGATAAGATGCACTATTTCTGTCAGTATTGTTATTTTTTATGTCTATATTAATATCACCGATGAGCATAATATTTCGTATTGAGTTCCTCGGGCGAACAATATTCTCAATTGAATTTAAAAAGTTATCTATACAGTGTGCTGATGGTGATCTGTAAGTAGCCAAGATAAGTATATCCGGTTCTATATTAATTATAAGGAAATTAGCTCCTAAAGGTTCTGGTTCTGTTACTCTGCAATCAATATTTTTCTTAACATATACAACGATACCATCATTCTGGTTCAAACATTTACGAGTGAAATAATTATTATAATTTTCAATATTAGGTATAAGTTTATGATCATTCAGCCAGCATTCTGTTAGAATTATCAAATCTGGTACGAAAGACAATCTGGCTAACTGAGCCAATAAACTGTCAGAATTTTTGTAAATGCTGCGGATATTTTGTGAGAATATATTCAGTGATTTATCACAGGTTTTTATATGTTTATTGCACATTACGATATCACAGTTACATTAATGAAACTGACAATAAAAACTAAAACTAAAACATAAATGTTATCTTATCCGTATTTCATTAGGTGTATTTTTGCATTATTTTATTACTAAAATATTCAATTGTCCACCCTTTCCCTAGGAGTTGGGGCAATGTGTAAAAAAATGGTTTCATGAAGTTTGGCGTTTGAAGTGTCGTTAATTAGTCTTAAGTGTGAGATTGACACTAGGTATATGAAAATAGTAAAAATCTAAATTTCCGGTTCGTAAATTTCAAGGATACATTTTTACGGGGTCGGGTTTTTCGTATTTTCAATTATTAGCTTGTTGTTGAATGTATTTACCTGTAGACTCTGCACAGTGAACTTGGCAATGTGCTCTATGAGACGAGGATAGTTCTCAACCATCACCAGTTCCCCTAGTTGATAATTTGATTTGAGGCGAGCGAGGAGACGGCAGAACTCGTGGTAATTTGTTGGATCTGACAGGCCCTGAAAACAAAATGTTATATTATACTAGCTGACCCGGCAAACGTTGCTTTGCTTAAAAAAAATTTAGGGATGGGTCACCCTTACCATTTAGGGGTATGAAAAATAGATGTTGGCCGATTCTCAGACCTACCCGATGTGCACACAAAATTTCATGAGAATCGGTTAAGCCGTTTCGGAGGAGTACGGGAACGAACATTGTGACACGAGAATTTTATATATAAGATAATTTTTTAAATTGTGTTAACCGCAGCTGGCAAGCTCTACGCTGTTATCTATAGGCTGTCACCAAAATCATTTTATCCATAGAGATAAGCATAGAGAGAACACGGGGTACAGCCTGTAAGTGGAAGCGATACAGGCAACGAGAGAGATGGATGCCCGATAATTCCCTGTCTCTGTTTAGCTAAGCTGCTATTGGCTATCCTAAAGTGGGCATGGTTTAGATCGTAGAACAGGCGGGAAATTAGAAATTTCCCCAGTCATCCACAGAGCTCGACTAGAAAGAGATGGAGGGAACTATCTATTATCCATCTATCACGTTGCCTATATACCAAGCTTGAGCTATTTGCTTATATCTCTACGATTTTACTTTTATAATATAACAGTCTCGTAAAATACGTTTTACGTGAGGACGTAATATCACCTCGGTCAAGCCCGTCGCATGCCGCAGCAAGGCTCACCCAGGAATTTGTGGTAAAAATTAAAAACTTTACCTGTGTATTAGCCAATATTCTGAGCACCCCCTCACATAGCTTGTTGAGGAACTTGGATCTTTCTGTACTGTTGAACAAAGATCTCCTGACTGAGGCCAGCTGCACCAGGCAAGCCAGAGCCAGGCTCGCTAGAGAGCCCCCAAGTAAGTGGTACAATTCGAAGAACAACTCTAGAGTGCTTGATTCTAGGAATGTAGGACGCCATGATGTGGGGATCTAAAAGAAAGGAAGCCAAGATCAGTATAGTATGTGCAGATAAATATGTTTAGTTATAGATAGATAAAGTTATAGTGAAATAAATTAATGTATTTGATGGGATTTTGGTCTACCCTGACTAGTAAGCCAGAGGTTACGGGTTCAAGTCCCACCCAATATAAATAGTTGTGTGATGAGAACGATCATTTGTACTGTGTCTGGTTATAACTTACCTACCTATAATATGTATGTATTTAGAAATATAACAGCACTACCTTTTGCCCGCGGCTTCACTATCCTATCGGTTATCAGTATATATATATTTAAAAGTATCTTCTTTTTCAAGAATCAAACTATCTAAATACCAAATTTCATCTGAATCGGTTATTGATTCTCTATATATACTGCCACCCCCCTTTAGGGGGGAATTCTGGGATAAAAAACTCTTATATGTCCTTTCCCGGGACTCAAACTATATTTATACTAATTTTCGTATAAATCAGCTCAGCGGTTTAAGCGTGAAGAGGTAAAAGACAGATAGATAGATATACACAATTTCGCATTTATAATATTTTATATATACCTCACATATCTCTAGCTTAGCCTATGCTATGGTAATAAGACTGCTGATGATATAACATGATGCGAATCGAATCCGTGACCTCATTATAGCAGTCGTTATACGCTACCGCTGCACCACCGAGGCATATTCATACATACTATAGATAAATAGCACCCAGTCACAGAACGAATGATCATGCTCATTAGACAATATTATCCTGATTGGGAGTCGAACCCGTAACCTCTGGCTTAGCATTAAGGCCGGTCAAATCATCTTTTTTTTAGATACTTCAAATTTATATTCAGTGACCATTAACGCTGGTGGTATCCCACCTGAACAGTACACAGGTCATCGCTGCTCTCATCACTGGTGGTGCCGATGAAGTCAAAGGTGAGACAGTTATGGGCGAGCTTCAGCAGCGCAGCCACCAGGGCATGCTGGCGTTCGTCCGTCAACTCCACCGGCTTGCTCTGCATCGTCTCCAGCAAAGAACACGACAGCCGGAACATCTCGAATAGCTGTGTATCTCTGAAAACACAAAGTAGGTAGCACTGATATAAAAATAACTATAGATACAACACATATTGGTGATATAAATAAATTTAAATGAAAGTAAAACATGCTTTAGTGATTAGTTGTGTAAATCGGGACTAAAGTAAACGTTTTACTGACTGGTTTATCGGACCTGAAAGGACTCTATCAAGGAGTGAAACGTCCTTTCGCCATTGCCCAAAAACTTAAGAAAATTCGATCAAACGTTTCGATCGAATTTCACAAGCCGTTGTAACAGAACATCGATTGATATATCAATCGATTATTCCCCGATTTACACATAAAAATATACTTTAAAAAAAACTGAAATATATAAATAAAGAACTGTGAAAAGCCAGGGGTGCTTGCTACAATAGTAAAAAGAGAACATGAATACATATAGTAGCGTAATACTATCGAATCTCGCACTCACACAAACGTACTCATCCACTACTAGTAAACTCTTACCTGTTGTCCGGGGCAGCCGGTCCAGGCCGGCCCTCATTGAGCGTCGACCCGCTGCCGCTAGGCGAACCAAATAAACAATGATATGATCATGACACTGCCTTACAGCAGGGCTTAAATAATGCGAGTATATTTGAGAACGTGTGCGAGCGAAATAGATACATCTTTGCACTAAGGATGCGCCTTATATTAGTATTAGGATACTCGTATTCGGTTGTCTTGTTAATTATTCATTTAAATTGAGTTTTGAAAGTGATTGGTATATAATATTGTCGGAATATTTGGGTTTCAAATGTGTAATTAGTATATCAATATAGCTACGATGGGCTATGGATTTTAGGACTTTAAATAAATTTTCCACAATGGTTATAGTTCTTTGACAGTTAATTTATGACCGTATTTTATGATAACTTCATAAGTTTTCTTCTATTTTAACACAATTAGTCTTTAAAACTTATGAATTCTGCCAAAGAATTACAGAAAGCGAATTTCTTTCTGCTTCTTCCAAGTGTTTGGAACATTTCTTATATTTAAATTCCAATTCCAAGTATCTGAAGCTTTTACTATACTCGTAGAATTCTTCTTCATATTTCTTCTAGAAAGCCCTCTAAGAGATCTTAGTTCGAACCGAATATTTTTTACGAGTATACGTTTCGGCAACAATCAAACCTGTATTTTGGTTATTCGGTAAAATCACTATTCGGCGCATCCCTAGTTTATACAATTGCTACATAACAAATCCTACATAACATTATTAAAAATCTAAAGAGTTTTGCTATATTTGTATAATGTTTTAGCCTTAGGATTTTTTATTTTTTTCCTTTACTATAAATACCCTTCATATAATAATAAAAAATAAAAATAAAATAATAAAAATTCTTTATTTAAAACTAAAAATACAGATTACTTAATATGATTATTTAAAGTAAAAAAAACAGCGGTAATCAACTTGGTGTTTAATTAAATAACCCACATCATAACATTTTAAATTATTTAATTTCAACAATTAATTGTTTGTTTACACAACAATATTTTTTTTTAAATTGTTTAGTGAGTGTAAACGACTACCATGGACACTTGTAAATTTAGTCACAGGTGCGTAAGAAACAACAATACGTGGGGGGGGAGAGGTTTGAGTTTAACACCCATAAAGATCTAAGTATAGAGAGAACACGAGGTACAGCTGCATGTAAGCGGAAGCGATACAGACAACAAGAGAGATGGATGACCGATAGCTACCTATGTCTCTGTTTAGTTTAGCTGCGATTGGCTATCGTTAAGTGTGCGTGATTTTAATCGTAGAACAGACGAGAGATTAGAAATTTTCAGAGCCATACGTAGAGCTCGACTAGAAAGAGATAGAGGGAACTATCAATTATCCATCTCTCTCGTTGCCTATATTGCAAAATTGGGGCTCTTAGGCACTCTATGCTTATATCTCTATGTTAACACCTTTCTATGAGGCCATAATAGTCGTTTAGGTCGGAAATAATGAATGAGTTCTACACAATAGAAGAGTGACAGCCCTAGTGGCTCTGTGCTGTGGAGTTATTTCATGTCAGGGCTCAACCCTCCTGCCGTTCTCTTTTTACTATATTACTACTTGCAATGATTGCATTCAAGCACCCAAGCATGATATTTTATTTTATTAACCCTTTCTTCGCCATGTAAATTATAATACGCAAATGTCTATATGCTTTAAAAAGTCAGAATGCAAGCTGATTAATGATAATATTGAGTAGTTTTTTATTTTCGATAAAAAGCTTCGTATAGACGAAAAGGTGATGACAGATTACAAAAAAACATCTGCCTCACTTTTTTTCTTTATTTTAGTTAATCATCACCATCAACAGCCTTTTTTGGCTACTGGCTGGACATAGGCCTCTCCTTAGAAAGGATGTTTAGGCTTACTGGCCAAACGGGTTGGTATAAGGTTGTTTCAAGTTTTACTTCTCTTTGTAATACTGTTGTACTGCGTAGATTCCTCCCGTTGCCTCTCACCTGACAATCCGTATTCTTAATCCGTCACCACATGGATAATTTACTTAAATTTTAACATAAATTAGACAATTCACAATCATTGTTAGGTAAATTAAATATGCGGTGCTAAAAGCCAAAATGTTTTAGACAAACTTTGATGTCAATAAGCGGCAACTGATAGCGTATTATTCATATTTACAAGCAATGGTTATAAAATAAATATTTTACACCTACAATATTATTTGTGGCAAACCTAATTCTTGTGAGTAGTGCATTCCACAAACAAATTGTTGGAACTACAACCTACATAAGCTAATGGAATGTAATGGAATGTAATGCTAATGCATTTGTATTTAATATAACGTATATTTTTTACTTTGTAGATTTATAATAACATTATGTTCATCCGTATGGCGAACGTTTGAATTACAACTCTGAAAAAAATCATCTTGTCAATCATTAATCATAATATTTGCTGTTATAGCGGCAATAAAAATAATCACACTGCAGAAATGTTAACAGAACCGAAACTATACAAGAAATCGCGTAATGATACAATAAAAACAATCGAATCAAGATTCTCCTCTATTTTGAAGTCGTTTAGTAGTCCACTGCTGGATATAGGCCTCTCCTTAGAAAGGAGGTTTTGGTACCAACTCAAGTATGGCTCTCTTATGGTGTAATGATGACATAGCGACACTTTATGTTAATATAATATAATAATATTTCACATATCTCACACACGGCCGTCTGATCCCAAACTAGGCAGAGCCTGTACTATGGTAACCAGACTGCTGATAAACATACTTATATATTTTTAAATACATACCTATTATACATAAATTACACCCAGACACAGAACAAATGACCATGCTCATCACACAATATTTGTCCTGGGTGGGAATCGAACCCACGGTAACCCAGTTATATCCTGACCTTAAGTCTAGTATTAAAGTCTTCTGTGTTTGGGTGTAATTTATCTATAATTATGTGTGTATTTATTTATTTGAATAGTATAAAATGAAGACGCTTCCCGGTCTTGTACGCTTAGATCTTTCAAACTACGGTTTTGACCAATAGAGAGAATGATTCAAAAGGCAGGTTTATGTTTTTTTTTAATACCCGTTCGAAGCATGGGCAGGTCGCTAGTAGATATATAATTATCAGTATGTTTTTCAAGAGTCTGGTTACCATAGTATAGGCTCTGGCTAGTGTGAGATCAGACGGTTTCGGATCGGTCGGAGGAATTTGGACGATTTTTATTGTCTTGTTTTATTTCATGGACCAATATAATTTGGACCGACATTGTATAGACTTAAAAGTAAATTCTTGATATGTATAGGTGATATGAAACCGATTTTAGATAATTTCTCTCTTTATAGCACATATTATGTAAATATTATAGCTTCTACATATAAACATTAAAGTGTTCCAAGTATGACATGCTCTTGTGCTGCATATTTACTTAGAAAGGAGAATTTTCTTCACGTGTTAATGCATAGATGTTTATGTACAGGTATTTCATACTGCTTGACGTTTCAACAATGTTACACTGGACGTCAGCCTATGCCCACAGCAAGTGCATAATAGTAGTCCATTTTTTTCTCTTTACGGAAAAGGAGGCAAACAAGCAGACGGGTCACCTGATGGAAAGTGACTACCGCCGCCCATGAACGCCTGCAACTCAGGAGTCACAAGCGCGTTGTCGGCCTTTGGGGAAGGAGTACGGTCTTTGTTTGAAAGTCATATCGGTTCGGAAATACCGCACGCGATAACTTGTACCACAGATTGGTTGTGCGAGGTAAAAAAGTGTTTAGAAAAGCGCACAGTGGTGGAGTGTCAGGTATCCAAGTGATGGGGATGTAAATTTTGCCGTGTGGAACAATGGCGGAAAGAAATCACATAGTACATATCATCGAATGCTAAAATATAAGTTTACAAAAAATATAATTCAATTGAAACCTTAAGGCCACCATTATAATAATGCCACAATACCTGAATGACGAAGCTATTTTTCTATGTTTGACGAGAGATCGGTTCGCGTCTGCATCAGACACCTGGTTCATTTCCACAACCAACTGCGACAGTAGCTGAACTCCAATTGTGCACAACTCTTGACTCTGAGGGAACACAGAAACATTCAATAATATAACACTATTCTTACATCCAGTGCGCTCCTAATAAAGTAATAAAAAAATACATGACACAAAAATATATTGTCAATGACACCACTGTACTGAACCACACCACTGTAGTGTCGTTTAGAATTTATTTTTGGTAAACACACACCGTAATGAAGTGCTAAAATAAAACTAATGCGTATATCGATATCAATTATTTTTCATTCGTAAGTTCGTTTTCGAAGTTGCTATAAAGGTAAGCAGATGAAGTGAAACCAAGATACGGTGAAAAAAAAGAATGGTTATTGTATAATATCAGATCAAGTTGTTTTTGTAGTAATGGATACCATTAGTATGTTTTACGAATCCCTTGTGAGCTCGACACGAAATGACACCCCAGTGGTGTAAGCCCGTGATGTGGTTTACAATACATGGTACCCACAATTAGCGCCATCTTACCAAGACAAGCGGAACTACTTAGTAACTCAATTCTGCATCACACAATTAAAGTTCACAAGCTGATTTGTGTACATACAATATTTTTAGGTAGTTTTAATTTTTAATTAAATCAGATATAATTGTTAGCTTTTGTTAAGATTTGCAACTTTATGTTAAAAACCACTTCCTCTAAAAAAGGAAGAAGGTATCTTAAATTAGGAGCTTACTCTTCCTAACAGCTAAACTATATATGATAAGACTTTCAGTCAGATAGCTGATATTAAAAGGAATTACTAGGGCCAAATTAATTGTGGGACAAGAATAAGGGTTCTACGCCAAAAATGTACAAAACGTGAGCACTGAGGTGCTGAAATATGGTTTCGTTTATGTATATCGTATGGTAACTTACCCTTAGAAAATTGGTGACGTCATTGATGACGTTTTGGAAAACAAATTGTTCCTTAATCACGTCGAACCAGCTCAGCTTTGTGATGCGAGCGAAGAGTGCCACCAGAGCCTAAGAGAAACAATAAATATTTATCAACTATCTGGTTTACATAGAATGTATAGGTTCTGCCTAGTTTTGTAGCAGATTGCTACATCTTTTTTTCTAGGACAAACAATCAGACCGGTCACCTGATGGTAAGCCACCTTTTGGCCCCAACCTGCCCCTCCCCCCTCCAAATCAGGGATTAGAGCTCCGTAACCTCACTCTCACGGTGAAAAGCCACGTAAGATTAACGCCGGTTTTCTGTGATACCGTGGTATCGTACCGGTCTAACCTGCCTATATGTGCGAAGCATGACTCTCCCACATAGGTAAGAGTTATAAATCTCCAAGTTATATAAAAATCTAAATTTAAAGCGTGATGTAAAATTACCTGAATAACGAAGTATGCTAATTTGGGCCTTGTAGCGAGGTAGTTGAGCACATAGTTCCTTATGTCTAAACGTTGCTGAACCGACAGGCTAGCTGTGGATCTGTAAAAAGACAAGAATTTTATAACTAAATCCTTTAAACATTATAGCGAGAACTATCCTCGGATCAAAATCACCCGCGCGCGTTCTTAATATCCCTACTAATTCATACTAATAGTATAAATGTGAAAGTGTGTGTGTCTGTTCATCTGCCTGTTGCCTCTTCACGCTTAAACCGTTGAACCGATTTAGATGAAATTTGGTATTGAGATAGTTTCAGTTTCGAAAAAGGACAGAGGATAGTTTTTAACTTGCAGGTGGAATCAATAACTGCTGCTACTTTTTACCGCAATTATCGACATACACGCGGGCGACACTTCGGTATCTTAACTCGTCACCACACGGAACAAACAATACAGTAAATTACTTCATAAGTTACCTGCTAATAAGTTTAGACAATGTAGTGGCGGCCAGTAATTGGGAGTAGCTGGAATCGGCACGTTCCAGCAGCGCCTGGCATTTGCTCAGCGTGTCCAGTGATTCCTAAAAACATGACGAAGTAATATAAAGACGTTTTTTTTCAGAGTAAAACAATATTAATAATGTTACGACATGAATCAACGCACCGTATCAATTGCAGTACTACGCAAACATAGAACTTTGTTTAACTAAAAAATAAAGTGAATACTAACTACTTTTCAGATTTTGGTTAAGAAAGTCAGTCTTGGATAGATAGGAAGTCAGTTTTGTATTGAATAGAAGTCAGTGAAGGTAAATTCAGGATCGAGTGCATGTCTCTTCTGGATAGAACTCGGTTTTAGATCGAATAAAAGGTGGTTCTGTATTTGGTAGCAGTCAATTCTAGATTTAGTAAAACACTTTTTCTAGAAATCTAGAGTTAAAGTTGATTCCATACTGATGTGATGGTTAGTTACCTGAAACCCCACGACCGCCTTTTCCGCCTGTTCCCTGACGGCAGGGTCTTGGGACTCGTACAGCTGCTTGCATAGCAGCTCTATTTGTATCACCTCCTGGAACATAAAAAAACGTTAAATGCAATATAATTGTTTTAAGTGTCTTGTATTTGAGTACACATTGTAAAATAATTATATAAGTAATAATAATAAATTTACATATCTCATACACAGCCGTCTGATTCAAACTGGACTGATAAACATACTTATATATTTCTTAATACATATATATTATATATATATAAATCTCCTGTCACGATGTTTGTCCGCGATGGACTCCTAAACTACTTAACCGATTTTAAATTAAATTGGCACACCGTGAGCAGTCTGGTCCAACTTAAGAGATAGGATAGCTTAGATCTTTAATTACAGTCGCAATTTTATTTTATTGCAAATTATTGGTCTATAATTAATTGACAGGCACAATTATCTGTTAACTCCAAAAGATTTTAACAGATGTCGATACTTTTCGACTGGATTGAGTAAGTAATCAATAGATGGCACTGCTATGGTAAACCGACATAATGTATATGGCAAAACAACGTTTGCGGGGTCAGCTAGTATATTATAGATAAATTACAGTCACAGAACATATGATCATGCTCTTCACACAATAATTAGTCCTGGGTGGGACCCACGACCTCCGGCCTAACAGTCAGGGCCACTAGCCCAGTAGCAGGCAAACACTTTTCCTCCTTATGTTTTATTATCATAATTATTCTCCAGTTCTAGTATTTTTATAACCTAATTTCAGCTAATTTTAATCTTAATGTCATAAGAGTGCACAACAAAACTGTCGTAACATTATTTATTATTTAATTATTGTTATAACTAGTTATCAGTGTTATCGGTTATTGTTCTTTTTTGATAATATTGTATTTGAAAAAGCAACCTATTATTGCTGTGCAATGCGTTTTAATATGACCACTTCTATATTTAATATTTTCGGACATCTGACACACAACGTCATCTAGTTACAAACAAAGCTAGATTGACTGATAGTAGAGAATAATAAAATAGATACACCTAAACTCTTAAACAAATATTTTCAGATCATACAAGCATTTAGTCCAACTGGGGAATCGAACCCCAGACCTCAGCACAGCAGTCGCATATGCTACCACTGCACCACCGAGGCAGTCGATCTTTGTATTGCTCTGTAGTGAGTAAAGAATTGATGGGCCTGTAGCTCTGGTGGTTTGTGTTCCTGATTGTAATGGTTTTGTTGTTTTTTTTGTTACTTCTGGGTGTCATTTATATACTGTATATTTGTTTTTAGAAATATTGAAGTATGTTTATCACCAGTCTGGTTACCATAGTACAGGCTCTGCCTAGTTTGGTATCAGACTGTCGTGTGTAAGGTATCTAAATTTATTTATGAATCACTATTAAAAAAAGCAAAGTAAAAAAAGACTTGAGCCTAATATGATTCTTATAATATGTATACTTTAAAGACTAATGTACAATTTAGTTGGATTATAAAGTATTCATTTAATGGTGGTTAGGATATTCATTGAAAATGACATGATTCGAATTAAAATATGATAACTAGCGGACCGGACATGTGTTGTCCTGTAACACAAATCTTAAATTAAAAAAATGTTTTGTAGTTGACCTAATGGCGAATTTAAACCATTCTCGAATCCACTTGAACTTCATCAAAATCGGTCCAACCGTTAAGGAGGAGGTCAGTCACATACACATAAAGATAATAAGTAAAAAAAAATAGTAGGCCAAAGCCTCCTTTCTAAGGAGAGGCCATGTCCAGCAGTAGACTATTAATGGCTGTTGATGTGCATAATAAGTAAAAGAACATTAAATGAAATTTTAACACAGACTTATATGGGTATCTGAATGGTATATCTGAACCCATTATAATACATAATGGGTTCAGATATTAATTAAATCATTCAGTAGTTTTGGTTACAGAAACGGATTTATTTTGCTTTTATATTTGTAGGTTATCATTTGTTATCTATTCAAAAAGAAAAACAAAATTAAACAATAATTTAAGCTACACAGACTAATAAATAACTTACTTACTTATTGTATAATTATCCAAAAGGCTTTTTATTAGATTTACTTGTAGTCTTAGTCAAGGAGTTTTTTTTTTGTTTATTAAATGGAACACACATTACAATCAATTCAAACATAAATCTCGAATACATCGTTTAGATTTGGATCGTAACGTAACTTAAATGTGCACAAAGATAAACAATGAAGATTATACAAAAATTATTTCGATTCACAATACTGTAAGATGTCAATAAGTAACAAAGTAAGCAAGCAGCCAATGTGATGAAGATCTGAATGCTAATGCAAACCCAACTCACTATGGAGGATGTCTTTCACTACTTTACTATATCTGTTTTAGTGATATTATTTATGACCTGTATAACACAGGATAATAACCCATAAAAACAATTTTATTATATTATACTAGCTATTTATATATTTAATTATTTCTTGTTTCGTGTTTCTAACTCTGAAAATTACAAACTTCCATACAACCGTTCACCTCTTAGCGGTTAAATTTCCAAAAATCCTTTCTAGTAGGTGCTTACTACATAAAAAGCATAAGGCTCTGCATTGATAAATAAATTAGTCAGGGCAAGTGATTTTTTTATTTATAAACTATGCAGAGCCCATACTATAGTAACAAAACTGCTGATAAACATACTTATATATTTCAAAATGCATACATATTATAGATAAATTACATCCAGACACAGAACGAATGACCATACTCATCACATAATTACTTGTCCTAGGTGGGTATGGAACCCACAACTTCTTGCACAGCAGTCAGGGATACTAACCACTAGACCAACAGGCCAGTCAGATTTAATAAGCCAGTATATGCCTGTATATGAATGAGTGTGTGCAAATTGTATGTGTAAAATTGTTCGTGCGTTTAGTTATAAAAGAATTTAAAAGAGAAAGTCTATTATTAATTATTCTGCATTATTTAGGCACGGTGATGTAGGTTAATTTTGTTTTTAAGAAACACATTTCTATGTGTACATATTGAGTTCAGACTCTGACGGCGTAGTGGTTTAAGCGGTCACCTCGCCGCTTCCTACTACTCTGAGTGTTGTGGGACCGATCCCCATATGGAACAACACTTTGTGTGATAAACAAATTGTTGTTCTGAGTCTGGGTGTCTTTTGTGTCCGTTTCATGTATGTTTGTAAAGTCCCTCACAACACAGGATTTATTCCTATTGCGGGAGTTGTCTTTTATAAAAGAAAAGTGGGCTATGATCACAAGACTTTAATCTTTTTTTTTGGGGTAAATGGCAAATGAGCAGGCGGGTCAACTAATGGTAATTGATTACCGTCTGCCATAGACACCTTCAACTCAAGAGTGGCAATGTTGTACCATTTAATTTGCTTCAAAATTAAGAGGAGCTGGGCTATGACTTTGGTAACTCTATTTACTCAGTTAAAAACAACACAAGAATGGAATAAATAGCTCTGATTTTATGGTCGGTTGAGACGGCCATTTGCAACAAAACATAGTTTTCCCAAGGTTTATTTATTTTATACTGCAGTTTGATGCGTTTTATTGTAAAACAGTTTAAATATGTATGTTACGAGGCATATTACTAGTATGATGTCTTCACTTTTAATAGTAGGTCATATGACAAAATATACTAATGTTAAATTGCTTTCACTACTTGAACAGTTTGTGCAACCCGAAATAAACAATACTTTGTAGTTATATATATATATATAAAGTTGTACATAGAGGCGTAACACACATTCCTCTACTTTCGTTCTGGCCTTTTGAGAATTATATGCTGAACTATAAAAATGATCAGTTTTTTTAATATTCATAACAGAATATGTTTACCTTTAAGTTATACTAACAATTTAACAGTTTTGGATTGAATAGTTTCCAAAAAACATGGTTTATTTTACAGAATAGGATTTTCATTTACTACAAATGAATAGAAAACCTGTTAAAAGTCTTTTAACATTTGGACTACTACAACTGACCTATTTAAATTCTTGAAATTCAATAACGTTTCACGTTATTGTAAATGGTGTTTAGATATAATTTATTGAACATAAAACATACTCTTTGTTTAGTCTTGACTATTCTTGTTGGAAGTAGATATTCTAATAAACACATATCGCATTGTAGATTCTTAAACAAAAATATGTAGAAGGAAGTTAATTATATTAGACCGGTGACGACTAAAATCGGACGGACCCACTGGGGGTCAGTCTATACTCAATTATACAGAACTTAGATATAACGTCAAGGATAACACTGTAAACATCATTTTATAACCAAAGTGCCGACAAAACCACTGCGAAATTTATTTCTATGTACACAATAGATACTTTTCTAATTGATGATATCTGAAAATAATATTTAATAAGAGAAATTAACACTGAAAACCTTACATCGCGGTTCAAACACTGATTAACGCATTGCAATAACACGGAATTATTGAGTGGTATGTCAAAATCCTGGTCACAATACTTAATTTTAAGCGAAATGAGCTTATTAAAACTAGATATTTATGGTAAATTCACATAAAATCATTTATAAATCATAATATTTTGGTTCTCACCTGTTCTTCAGCCATCTTTGTTATTTTCTTGCATTTGAAATGACGTTTCGTTATATCAGAATTTTCTATTTCGGGTGCGTTCAGGTCTTAAAGGCTTAAGCCGACTATGCTTCAGTAAAGGACCAAACTTGAAGGACCTCATATTTAAATGTAAAACGATGCAATGTAGAAATTCTCAGATTTTCAATTGAATTGTTTGGATTTTCAAATAGAATGAAACGAAGGAACATACTACAGCGCCATCTATCGAAGACACACCGAACTACAAAATAACGGCCAATCTGTATCGCGATGTGAACAATTGTCTCGCCGATTCGCCGAACACCGTGAAATTGTAGTTGATTTCCAAATTTTTTTTAGGCACTAGACATTATTAACAAATCAGAGACTATTAGACTACGGACAGTTTAGAACCCTGTCACACACAAGTGGTACTGGTCAAGTCTTGCAATAGAGGTCAAAGGACAAATCTTCGACTTTTTTTAACGGGATCCGCAGCCCGCAGCGAAACGCTTCCGCGTATGCCAATACGGAAGCTGATAAACACCACTGGCTTGCACCCTTAGCGTAATTAAAAAGTCCAAGACTTACAAGAAACAGACGCCTTCCCTCGTCGACAATTCTGCGAGTGGAATCGTACACCCCGTTGAAAATATTTTGTGGACAGACGCGGCCTTGTTTACTCGTGTGGGTTTTTACAACCAACATAACGAACATTGGTGGTCATATCACAACCCACACGTCGTTAGACAAGATCTAGACCACATTTTGAATCTATAATATATCTATCTGATATCTAAAAGACTACATTTTGAACATTTATTAAAATACATGTAAAACAGTAGTGGTAAGTTAACCTAAGGTTTTTTATTAATTATTGTACAAATCACTAAAGGTTTATGCACTTTTTACTTACTTCAAAGATGCCCTTTAATTAAGTGAAGTTTAAGTATTTGGATGTTATGAAATGTAGCTAAGTATGCGATACCGAGGAGAGGTCATTGACACTTGCGCGCCTACCGATTGCAGTGTGTCTACAACTTGCGAGTTCTTGTGACAACTTTATGATGCTAATTACTTAATATTTTTGTACTATGTTATACTAAACTAAAATGCGGGTGTCTCATAAATTTTACTAAAAATTCTTCTGTGTCAATATGGACGGCAACTTCAATTTCACAGTTTATATTTACGACTTCCCAATATCAACCGTTGTATCGCGGCCCGCCAGGCATGATCACCTCGCCTGGTCGGAGGATCCTCCCTTTGTGTTGGAGGGACATGACACCTCCTCCTCCACAGATTATACATGTTCACAATGAAATCGCCAATTCTCATTCGATTTTGACATACACAACTAGTTTTCCTTTTGAAGAAATACTACCTCTCTTGGCCTTATACTATTTATCAATATTATATGAATATATGACCCCCGCAGTAAAAGTTTTATTTAAAATTCGAAACACTCAGCTAAGTAAAACGCTCAGACTAAACTAACAAAATTAACTAATTGGCGTGCACATAAACCATTTTATTTTTACATTACATTCCAACAATTTAAATTTTTTGACTCAAAGGATATGAAAATCACTTTGAATGACATTTGCACAGAGTACCTACAGTAACTGTAATACTATAAGAAAGACATTGGCCAAAAGGGGATGGTCTCCACGAACCGATTTGATTTGACGTGACGAAGTTATTTTTTTGTGTATTTGATGCATCTTTTGCAGCACAGAAAATCTGTCTCTACTGTTCATTGCGTCTCTGCAGAAAACCTTTACTCATCACAAACTAATTCGACGGAACCTCTCACCGAAAGTGAATCACGTTAGATTGATAGCAGACGCTAAGCAATTCACTATATTTTTTATCGTTTATAGCTTTGGGACCTATTCAACTTTATGCTTAAAAATCTTATAAAACAGCCAAGAGATCTCGGAGGCATCGCGGTGTGAACAAATAAAAAAAAAGAGGTCACTCGAAAAAACTCATCGAATGGCTTAAGAACTACTTTTCTATTATAGTCTATTAAAACCAAATCAAAACCCACAAAATTACACATCATTCATTAAGTACTGGCAGAAACTATACAGAACACGAAAATTCAAGTATAAAAAAATAAATTTGAACAAAAGCAAAGTTGTCAACATTTTTCCTGTTGTGACAGAACTAATGTCTTTAGAAAAATGTAAAATTATTTTCGCTAATTACCATTGTGGACACTAAATTTTTTCATTTTCCATGTCCATCAACATGATAAGAACCACTATTTCAAGAATCAAAAGAGTATGGGCCATTACGTTTTCCCCTGGCTTCATGCGAGGAGACGTGCGCTTCACTCCAGGAAAATTTCAAATTTGTAAGTTTTTCCCATTGATATTGAGGTAATTTGTATAGGTACATGTTTAATGTTTGGTATGACTTCATTATGCAAGCTTGCATTTTGCAACCTTTTCTTAATTTTAATATTTAAATCTTAAAAACGTGACAATCTATATCCGTATATTTATACCTTCGTAGTTGCTTTATACTATTCCTTATATTAAAATAGCAAACAGCACACGTACTGACACAAAAAACTGGAAAAATGCATGTCGGACTACGCGCATTATAGGACTTAGAAGGGAGCTTAATATTTACACGGTATACATAGGAATGTTCAGCATCCCGTGTATTGACAACATTGGTACGCGCGTCATGCTAGCCTCTTAATATTTATGAAAGCTATCCAATGATACCATAATACGGAACTCTAAAAATGAACACCCAAATATCCCTGTCTTAGGCAGTCCGCATCCATCTGCTGCCAAACATTTCTTTTTTTTTTTATACTAAGCAAAAAATAAGTCTTTATTAGTAAAAACCAAGAAGTTTCACATAAAGTTGGAAAGCCCATTAAACCAGTCTTTTACAAAATACGTTCTTACATAAACCAATCCGTTCACAAAATGCGTTCTTACATGAACTAGTCCGTTCACAAAATGCGTTCTTACATGAACTAGTCCGTTCACAAAATGCGTTCTTACATGAACAAAGACGAATGGGTTATACTGGGTGAACCCCAGGCTCGTAGAACCGTGATGTTAAGCATTCCTTTCGTTACTTTTCAACACATTAGTGAAGTTACTAAAGATCCAACTGATTCTTGTGACAGTACTTGTCTCTTGAGTTGCGTGTCATTGTGTCCATGGACGGCGCTAGTCAGCATCTGAAGGCCAATTCTCGCAATAAAAATTCGTTTAAAATTCAGCTCCGATCAACTCTCGATCTCACAACTCTGTCATAAAAGGTGTTTCCGTAGTAAAGTATAAAACATCCAAAGTTCTCTGTAATGAGATAAGATTGTATTGTGCCTTAGTTGAAACACAGCTAAACAAAATTTGTTTTCTATAAACACAAAATATAAACGATTTTTTTAATGAGAAAAAATGATGTAGATAACGGACGAAAAGCTAAATATTCTTATTATTTTTAATAATTTGACTGCCTCCGTGATGCAGAGGTAGCCGATTAGGTGGTTTAAATTGGCAAGATATCACTTTTGGTTACAGCACTGTTTTTAAGTATTTTCTTCGTTTATTATCATCCCTAGATAGTAGAAATAAAACTTAAAAAAAAACTAAAATTTTCTATGTCAAGAAAATCATGGCGTCTATGAAGAACTTTTGCTCAGTCTGTTGTATACGTTACCAATTTGTAAGAAACACCAATGTTATTAGAAAAAAAATATTCATTTGTTATGGAAAAGGCACTCTTTACAATATCAGTTCAACTGCCTTTTTTATCCTGAATTCAGGAAATTAGCCAATATTTAACAGTCCAACGCTAGACATAGGCCTCTCCTTAGAAAGAAGGCTTTGGCCTACTATATCACGCTGGCCAGACGGGTTGGTATAGGGTTTGTTTCAAGTTTTGCAGTGCTGTTGTCCTCCGAAACCCACGGGATGAATAGAGGTGGTAACATTCCGTATTCTTAACTCGTTACCACACATGGACAGGCCAATTTATAAAAAATATATTTTCAAAGCGAATATTATTCGTATGTTTTGATTTCTGTATTTTTTCCGCTCTTGTATATCCACTATACTTGTTTCTCCTGCAATAATATCCTACCAGCTCAAGGTAAACCTTAGTAAATATCATACCGAAAATCTTTGTGATAGTTTAGCTTTATGTTCTCTCTTGTACAGCAACCATGCATTATTTATTTTACGTCTTGTAAGAGGTTTGATAGGTGAAAATATAGCAACTGTATAGAGTATAGAGTTCAGTGTAGGAATGGCATCATAGTTGTTTGTTGAAGTGGACTTCATCCAATGTGGGCGTTAATGGTACATTTAATCGATGACATGAGCGGGGGACCCCTTCATATCTTCGTCACTGCCCAAAATGTTAAGGTTTTCATAAGAAGAATTCAAAGAAGGTGAGGTGAACAAAAATTACCATGTTTAATTTCGTTTAACTTGGTAACGGGAACCACGGGGTGTACATACACACATTCTATTATAATCAATTGTTGGGTATGTACACTCAATATACAACGTGAATAAAAGTTGGTTAGTGTAAAGTTTGTAGGAAATACAATAAAAATTTACCAGAGCCGGAGCAACATGTCGCCGCCGTCTACATCATTTTGACTTTTACAAATAGAGTTAAGGATTGACAGATCAATGATTTTTTTTTACAAAACTAAGATATCTTTAATCATTCTAAATGATAAAATAACTTGCACTGTCAAAAATGTTCAATAATACTTTTTCCAAACTAACGTATCCCTGGAGACCCTGAACCAATTTAAGGGTTAAATTGTCTCTTTCTGTATATGACATTCTGTATTTCACCACTTCTTGTTACGCCTAGTTTTATCGCTTTGTTTTTATTGTTTCGTGTTATGAATACAACTACTGTTAACAAAATAGAAGAATAATATTAATACATTTTTAACAAAAAATAGCATATGTGACTGCTGTGCTGCTATTTATTAAGGTAGGTACGCTTATCGCGGTAAAAAGATGCCTATGCTACTCGCTGGTAATATGCCTTGCCATTGGTGAAATAATTTTTAAAATCGGTTTTGTGCTTTAGGCGGGAAAGTGTAACAAACAAACAAACAAAGTCCCTTTTCACATTTATAATATAAGTATGGATAATTTTCCCAAAAGACGTCCATTGCTGAACATAGGCCTTCCCCCAAATATCTACGTACATACCGCAACCGGTCCTGCATCTCTTGCATCCACAGGACTCAACAGTTCGGGATTTAACAATTTGCAAATTTGTCTAGAGAATTCAACTTTTTACGAATTCAACATTTTGTGATGCAATATTTTGCGAATGCATCATTTTGCAAATTCAACATTGTAGTCAAAAATGTTTCTTATTACTAAATTTGACCCACACAGGTCAAGCTAAATAAAACCTTTTAAATAACATTGTCGTTGGCCACTTCTGGGATAATGACACTCAAAATGGGCGTCATTCCCTTTACGTCACAAACAGTCGAGTGCGTTTCGATTGCTCCGCCATGTTGTCGAAAAAGAAAGACTTCGCCAAAAATTTGTCGTAATTTGTCAAAATCGAAGGGAACGAACCAAAAATTTGTCAAAGTTAGTGTTTTAAGTTGGTCCTTTTACCAATTCAAGACCAAATTTGGTCAAAATTTGTCAAAAAAGAATTATAAATATTTTACGAAATATTCACCTTGAAAGTTATGGCCGCCCAATCGTATATTCTTTATTGCCGATTGTTTCTTTGAAACTTAAGACTTATACCGTAAAACTGTTACAAAAAGAAAGCTCTTAATTTGTCAAAACTAATGGCATCATTAAATACTACCAAGTTTAGTTAAACTGACAAAATCAGTCAAAAACAGTAAGTACGTGGCCGCGCAGTCGCAACGTTACTTTGTAGCCTGATAACTCATTTTCTATAAGTGCTATCAATTTACTTAACCTTAACCTCATCAGAATGACATATCGTTTTACCCTTAGAACAGTTTTTAACGCGTGCAATTTAAAAAATAATGTTATCTCATACAATGTTCAGGTAGGGTAACCAATATTTCGATTTAATTTGAAATTTGCTCTTTTAGACAAAAATCTATCTATTAGGAAGAATTGTATAATTAAGTTGTAGAATCACGAACGCATGAATCTCAATATACAGAAAATGGCACTTATCTCGCGATGCAAACCAACACGCAGCCAAGTGTCGAGTGAGATTAACTCATTAAAGAAAACTATAACGCAATGAAATAGATACCTACAACTTTGCGTTATGGCAACTTATGCCAATGAATAAGTAAATTTGTGAATTATCTTAGAAAAGAAAATAATCTTCCTATTTTCTTATTTTTATGTAAGTAATTATTTTTATCTAATTTTTTTTTTTTAATAATAATATCATTGTCGAGAGCCATTCGGCCAGTGGTCCGCTGACGTTGCGACTGTGCGGCCACTTTACTTTGACTGATTTTGTTTGTTTAACTAAACTTTAGTAGTATTTATTGCTTTCATTAGTTTTGGCAAGTTTTAATACCTTTCTTCTTGTAACAGTTTTACTATATAAGTCTTAGGTTATAAAAAAATAATCAACAATAAAGCAACAAGTGTTCGATTGCGCGGCCATAACTTCCAAGGTGAATATTTCGTAAAATTTTGAACTATAGCTTATAAATTCTTTTCTTGACAATTTTTTACAAATTTAATCTTCAATTGACGAAAAGATCTCTAACTTAAGTACCTAGTACCTAGCTGAGATCTTTCTGAAAGAGAGATTTGAAATCACAAAGCCCAAATGGTTTTTCTGATAGGTACATTGTACCTAGGTTCTAAACTCAGTACAAATACCACAACTTGTAAAAGTTTGCAGTGCTACATGATATGTCGATACAGCAATACAATCCCAAAATTAAAATAAGGTTAAGCTGATAAGCGCGAAAAATTAATAGTAACCAATAAACATCTCAAAAAATGACGAAAAAAGCCTGCGAGAGCAAATCATTATTCGTGCTATGCTATGTTGTTAATAACAATTTTAATTATTACTCATAGGCTTTTCTCGCTATTTTTCAGTGTCGTCTGCTACACAAAGCCCTCCACAAAGGCGATCAAAATCAAGTGACAGTACCTGCAAAGATCCTCCACAGATAACAAAATGTGGAGGTGCTGCTGGCAGTGAAGAAAAAGACGTATTTGACGATTATTTATCCCCGGACATGCGAGGTAATGATAGGATGCATGGTGCCCCGCCATTGTATCAGACAACTTCAGCGTGTCGCTGCGATGAGTGTAACAATATCATAGCTGAAATTTTCAGCGAAGAAACATCATTGAGACAGGACAATGATCTAAAGAGGAAACTACTAGCTAACATTGCCCAAATTAATATAACTGATAATATTGATACTGGTAAATTCACTACTGACAAAGCCCAACATGGATTATTTCAACGCAAAAAGAAAGAAGACGGTGATAGCCTCCCTAGATTGACGAAAGTTAATATAGATAATGATTCGACCCCTAAAACAGAAAACAAGTCCGATCCCTTTAATGAATTAGTTTCAATGAATAAAACATTAGACGAAAAATCTAAAGTTAATGTAGATGCTCACCAAATGTACACAAATTTATATGACGTTGATCCTGAAGAATATCAGTGTAAATTCACTGATGACAACAAAAAAAGTCCATATTCAAATAAAAAGCTGAAGGATCACAACGTGGATGCTTATTGGAAAGACGTATACGAAACTGCTGTTGGAGAAAATTCAGTTTATTGTGAACATACTTTAAGTATCGATGAAGATACATTAAACGTGTATAAAGTGCTTAAAAATCCTGATTCCAAATTGGATGGTACATTAGAGTATAGACGTTTAAAACGTTCCCCACGAGAGTTAGAGAAAATGATCGCAAGCGAGAAACTATTTAAGGATAGTAGTAAAAGAGAAGGCAACAAAATGCATGCAACTAGAGCTAGTATAGAAAAACAAGATGACGATAAACTAATTCAAAAAGTAGAACACATTGAGGAGGCTCCTCTAGTAGAAGCTGAGAAACCTAAAGTGGAAGGTTCACAAATCGCACCTAGAGTATTAGGGTATGTGGGAAAAGGAAAAGTCTTTAATAGCTTAGATGAGGTAGCGAAACGGTGTCTTACATCACCTCAAAATAGAATTGATGAAATCTTACTAAAGGAAATGGAAAAACTGGGTATTCCTTTAACCGTACAACGTACCAACTCTTGTCTTAAAATAGAAGATACTAAACCTGACGCTTTGAATAAACAGAAAAAGGTTCCTCAAGAGGAAGAAATCGAACTAGACGATCGTGATATAAAGAACAAACCGGAAAAATGGGGAGTAACAGGTAATCTACATAACTCAGCAGAATCTAAAGAAGACCCTTTAGACACTGTAACCCAATTTCATTTAGATTTGAACAGAACAAAAATGCATGATGATTTAAAAAGTAACGAGAAGGCTAAGCTCCAGTCTGATACTAAAACTGAAACTGTTTGCGATGCCAACACTGAAAACAGGTGCGGGTGGTTATACTGGCGTGTTAAGAATCCTCAACAACAAGATCCCAAACGTAGTGGAACATCCGAACAGGAACATAATACGTTTACTGACCAAATGTGGCAGAAAAATCAATTGGATCCTAAACATGTCTTGACATGTAATGAAACATGTTCTATTTCTCCAAAGCCACTTATTCACAAAGAAGTTGAGAATGTTGAAGGTACGGAGGACATGTATAAACAACAACAGACAAATTTATATATGAAACAAAAACCTCTTTTAGAAGAGGGCGAAAGTGAGCCTTTAGCAACAAGTATAGAAGAGAAACCTCAGCATATTATTAAACCAGATTATCTTAACCGCTCAAAAACGGTTGATTTTACAAATATCACGAAAGATAACGCGTCAACGGCCGTTGACAGTGTAGCACAGCAAACCTCTGAAGCAGGCTCTACATTTAATATTACACCACCAGAGTTGCGCAGAAGGGAAGTTGATTTAGAACCAATGGACGAACCCAAAAACACAGAGGATCTTACTGAAAACACTATAATACAAGCTGTTGATAGTGAACAATTACAGTTGACTACAGAACAGCTGCAGGTGGCCAGTGAGCAGTTGCAGGCTACTTGTGAACACTTACAGGCTACAACTGAGCAACTTCAAGCCGCAACTACACAATTACAAGCTACAAGTAACCATTTATGTGACTCAAGTAATAAACTATGCACCGCAAGTGAAAACTTAAATACAACGACAGAAAAACTACAGTATACCAGTGAAAATTTACGCGACTCTACTGAACAATTATGCAGTAACACAATGTTAATCAATAAAAACTCAAATTATCCAAAAAAAGAATCTGATATACCCGAAGAGGCAGATCATGCCGTTAAGATGTATGAGCAGTTCATAAAAAATACCCCAAGTGACAAAGAGCAATTGAAGATAGCCAGCACCGAGACATTTATTAATGATACAATAAAATCGGCTATGGATACTCCTAAACCTTCCAAAGATCTGTCTGTCAATCCAGCTGCTGCTGCACTTATATCCAAAGCAGTAAGCAGTTACATGAAAGATACGAAAACAGAAAAAACATCAACTCAACAAGTTGAAAGAAAAGGCGCAGACAAAGAAAAGCCTGAAAAAACGAAGGACGACGATGAAACAGTTTTGAAAGAATTGGACAATAAATGCTTCAGTCCTAACATAGAGGGTTGGGCTCAGCAAGCAACAACTATAAACCCTTCTGTTCCAATGACTGAAGATTTACCCCCAATTAAGCCCTTGCCAGAAATAAATGAAAATACAAAACTCTCAGAATTGATGAGGGTAGTCAGAGAAAGAAATAGGTTAGTGGACTGCCACGAAGCCACAGTTCTTGTAAAACCTAAAAAGTTTGTTCCACCGCTAGCCAAGCCCCTGGCTAACCCATCTAATTACCAAATGCCTAGCATTCCTGAAGTAAAATCTATCCCAAGGGTGTGTGTACCGAAAAAAAGCCGTCCTACGAAGAAATGTAGCTACTGTAATTTGGAAACGCTGGGTCTCGACCAAAATACATCTTTTATAGGTCGTAATAAATCACAAGAGTGGCTGGATGTTGTAAGTCTGGACCAACATCAAGCCATTGACTTGACATTAGCCGAAGATGATTTAGTAACAGACTTCGCCGACGACTTCATTCTTCAATTACACTATTTGAGTGACATAATAGAGTCGTCGTATAAGCGCGGAAAAGCAAAAGTTTTGGAAACAGCTGTACTAGAAAATCGTCACTTGGCAAAAATCGTTAGAAGTCAAGATTACGAGCCTTGGTCACCGATACCCTCGTGGCCATACCCTAAAAAGCCTAAAAAACAGAAGTTACAGTGTCCTAAAGATGGTTGCCAAATTCCGCCACCACTGTCTGTAGAAGAAAGGCCTTGCGGACTTAAGCCATGTAAAACCTTCCCGACTTTTCCAAAAAGAACTTTCTCACTGCTAGATTGTTACCCGACCTCTCTAAGCGACCACAAAATAGTAGACGTTGGGCTCTTCTAAACACAAGAAAATATTGAATAAAATCAATGATAATCAGCGAAAATAAATCATAACATCAAAATGTTGTTTGTTTTACTTAGTTTCTTAACAGCATATCAATTTATTTACTGTTGAGCGCTGAACTAAAGCAGTTTTGGCAAATGGGGCATGACTTAGTCACAAGCTATCTAAAGGGTCTACGCAAGACGAGCCGCGCCTTTGCGTCGGTTATGACCACGGAGCAAATCCAAAGAGGTGTTGAAATTAGTTTCCTATGAAACAATGCATAACAATTTGCGGGGTGAGTTGTTATTAAGCTCCACCAACTTAATTTTTTTCCTTCTACCTAATAATAGCAAAACTACTCACATCGTTCTATGCCGATGTTGCTATTTAGTTTAGCTATCTCACTCTACGTGTAAGATGTAAGGGAAGTACTCAGAATTTTCGTACCAATGAGTTAAGATTAATTTTCTGAACCATCTTGATACTTACATCTATTGCAAACATCTTATTCATATTATAATCGTAGTAATAGTAGGGTAGCCCATGCTGCTAATTGGGGACTTACAAAGGGACTTATTGCATTTGAAAGATAAGTCATAATGTTTCCACTTTCAGCGGTGGGAAAGGCTACAGCGGGTTTTCAAAAATGTAAGGTAAGGAAATCGAAAAAAAAACAAGCGCATCAGATATTTTGGGGAAATGTTATTTGGACGTCAAAAATGCTCCTAATGCAATGTCTTCTAATTTTTATATGTGCAATGTTTAACAGATGTTACAATTGCGAATATAATGCATAAAAAATAGATAATTACATGTGATACTTCATCATCACCTTTACGGACTAGTAAAGGTGATGATGAACTACTGGGCATAGGCCTCTTCTTAGAAAGGAGGTTTAGGCCTACTGTACCATGCTAGCCAGACGGGTTGGTATAGGGTTTGTGTCAAGTTTTCCTTCTTTGCAATGCTGTTCTGCGTAGTTTGCTCCCTTAGTCGGCTCTTACGACACCCACGGGATAAATAGGGGTGGTGACACTCCGTATTCTTAATCCGTCACCACACTTACTTAGATGTGAAAAATGCCGCTCAGCGTCTTGTAGAGGTTACCAGTCTTTAAGTGAGAATTTAAATGTTTAAATAATATTATAGAATTAAAATTCCGTTTTCTAAATACCTGAAGTGAGTGTTGTCAATTTCAGTGTTGATCAACCTATACAGCTCAATTTTTTACAAGAGCAATACTTTTCTTCCTTCCTTCCGAGATCAAAGCGATGGTAGTACAGACATACCCTTATTAGTCCCATCTTGGATTTTAGTAATGTATGCTTTTACGAACTAAATGCAGATTTCCTCAATAAATATGACCACCTTCTGAATTACAGTATTGGATTCCTTTTTAACATTCGCTAATATGACCATGTTGCCTCTTTATTTTACTTTACACTATCCAAAATACTGTACACCTATTATACACATAAAAATCTTCACTTATCTACAATATTTCATTACAAAAGGTTTAAAATCCCTGGTCATACTTCAATGATAATAGGTCTTTACCTATGAAATTGACGTTTTGTATGCTATAAGTGAAAGTACTTATTTTTTCAAACTTTTTTATTTCTGATATTCGAAGTAATCACCTATGCAATCGACGCATCTTTGCCAACGCATTGGCAGTTTATTGATGCCCTTCTTGTAAAAATCAGCTGGACGGGAGGCAACAAACTCTTCAAAGGCATTTTGTACTACCTCTCGGGAATTGAATTTTTTACCCACTAAAAAGTTGTCTAAATTTTGGAAAAAGTAATAGTCGATAGGTGCAAGGTCTGGTGGTCACATCTGCAACCAGCTTAGCATATGTACCGTGTAAACATACATATGCATTTAGTAAAAAGAGGTTATTTTAATATTACAAACAGACACTCCAATTTTATTTATTTGTATAGATACGTACGTAGTACGGTACGCGACTGCAGTCCATGAGGCCTCGGGTACGATTCCCGGACCGGGCAAAATTTTATAGGGTTTTTCTGAGAGGAATAATAACCTAAGTTTCTCCTTATAAAGATAGCTACGTATTAGTAAAATATTAACAAAATCGGTCCAGTCGTTTTGAAGATTACTCGACCAAACAGACAGATAGACACAAATATTTGAACTGGTTTTTAGGCATAGGTATCGTGCCAATAAACGTGTGAGCATGAAAATATTCTATTATTTTGGCATTACAAACAAACACTGCAATTTTATTTATTTGTATAAAAAATGATTTCTTTTTCATTGTTTTTCTATTGGAGTTTTCATCCACATTGATACGTCAACCCCATCGTGATAATAATATGAATAAAACATAGTTTGCCTGTCAAAATGTAAATACTTCTTTCAAAAAGTGCATAGGCCCATAAACGTTATAGTCTAAGTCCCAGGGCTCCCAGATGTTACTTACTTTCTCAGTAACCAAATCATCATCACCATCATCAACAGCCTTTAATAGTCTACTGCTAGTGCGCCTCTCCTTAGAAATAAAGTTTTGGCCACGACCAGACGGGTTGGTATAGGATTTGTTTCAAATTTTCTTTCTCTCTGTGTAGTTTGCTCCCTTATACGAATGGGTGTGTTTAAAAAAGTGTGTAAGGTTTTAATTTTTAAATAATTCGTAGACGCACTAAAATGCCTTATTAGTTTTCATATAACGTCAATTCTTTGAATCTCAAATTAATTTGTATTTTACGAAACGCATATGAGCCGGGTGAACCAGTGTTACCACGGGCTCGGCCTCTTAGAAAACTAGTTTAAGGCAATGTTTTCGTTGATTTTGTTTTTATCGCTAGGCTGAGTTCCCCCTGGTCTATTAAGGTCATAGCTCATTACACCCACCTGACACCCGACCACCACCACCTCGACTCGGTGTCCATTCTTTATCGACGGGTGGTCCCGGTGGACGCCGCGTTGTTAACTAGAAAACGATACGACAGACACGTTTGAGTGGGAGCGGTGTGCTGTCGATGCAACGTCCTCGCGCGTGATCCACTCGCGGACAGCGGGCGGTCACTGAGTGGTCCACTCGCCGTCCGCGGGTGGTCAATCCGAGGCGCTCCGGATTTGATCTAATGAGCGTTTACCCATAGTATTCCATACAAAGAATACTAACCGCTTGAGGCGAGGCGGTGCTGGTCGGGTGCCGGGCATCCTACTACGGCTACCTTTACTCTAGGACGACACTAAAGGCGACAATGCGCTTGTCTCTTGATTGATTTACAGGTGTCCACAGGCGGTGGTAGTCACTAGGTGACCCATCGTCTCATATGCTTCCTATTCCATGGATAAAATACATATACCTCATTTTGTTAAGTCGGTCAATTTTCATTTGTTTTTGTTTGTCACGGCTAGTGTAATGGGCTATTGCCCCCCCCCCCTCCCCCTCCCTCGTTGACTTTTTCCTGGTATCGAACATCAACATTCGTTATTATGTACCTATATGATAATTATGTTGTTTGCAGTCGGTAACTGTTTAAATTTGTTATTGTAAGCATTCGATAAGATAACCAGGGGAACTACAGGCTTTTGTCAAAGTTATAGCGATTAGCGGATTGATAGATATATTTACAGTCACGGGTACGGAACTGAGTGCCGCTAGTTCCAGTGAGTCGGCACTGACAGCTGCTAGTCCCGATGAAACGGGGCTGAAGTCCGCTGATCTCAGTGAGTCGGGATGGCGTGCTGTGCGCGGTTTTGCGGTGCAGTACCCAGTGAGTCGGGATGTATGTAGTATGTTTCTTCGTTTTCACCGTATGTGGAAGTCGCCACACCGGCAATCGGCCGCTTTAGGAGTAAGATGGGAGAATCTGGAGTATTTATTTATTTGGGATAAAAAACAGTAGTACTGTATTCAATAATAGTCCATATCATTATTTTGTACAAATGTGCTAATTGCACTACCAATAGCATTATCTACTTATTACTGTACATACTGTTACTCGTATAGTAAAATAGTGCATGCTACGTGATTAAATACACATGATATAATGAAATAATGCGTTATTGATATAAATTATTAGTTATATTTGCACAATAAAAATGAGCAAACACGATATAAATATCTAAATTAGACATAAAATAATACATAATTTTGCAAATTACGAACCTGACCTAGAAGCAGTTATATCATGCATGAATTCTATTAAACATTTTTTATATTTGATTGCAAAATGCGGGAAGACATCTGTACTGTTAAAATGGGTATTGTAATTGTCTACAAGCTGTCGTAGAGGTGTTCGTATGCCTACGTTTGTTTTAGGATTATATTCAAACGAAAGAGTTGTTAAGGGATAAAGAGATATTACTTAATAGCTCGAGCAGGTCGGTCGCATATTTACAAATTTAGGACTTAAATTATGCCAACAATAATTTGAAGCCAATCACGCAATAGAGGAGATTAGAAAGAAGGAAACCTCCGTAATTGGTTATTATATTACGTACTTCATTTTTCAACGTGATACCAATATACTTTAGTCAGAAGTACGCTGTGGATTACAGAAATCATTGACAGGGATTTTGTCATTTTTTTATGGTAAGAGCAGGCGGGTCAACTGAAAGTAAGTGGCTATCGCCGCCCATGGACACATGCGCCTTAAGTAACTCATAAGTATCACTTGAGTCGACCTCCGCCCAGAATTACAGACCTCCGCAAAGTATCACGGACTTCACTTCATAGTAATACTTAATAGTCCACTTCTGGATATGTCCCTAGGAAGGAGGTTTTAGCCTACGCTGGCCATACGGGTTGGTATAGGGTTTGTGTCAATTTTTCTTCCTCTTGGCAGTGCTGTTGTTATGTATAGTATGCTCCTTTAGTCTGTTCTTACGACACCTACCGGATGAATAGGGGTGGTGACACTCCGTATTCTTAATCCGTCACCACTCGGATAGGACGGACTTTAATCGTCATTAATTAACTGTATTTTTCATTTCTTTATTTTTCACTAACAGAGATAGAATTACTTCTTTCATTAAAACGAGACCAAATAGGAATTATACCCCCCTAAATATAAAAAACAATTATTACCACATCGATTCATAAATGACGGAGTTGTTTTGAAGTCGGTTAAAAATCGCTCCTCTTCTAAATCTCGCTAATCGGTGACAGTGAGACCAATTCCTGAGCAGGAAAATGCTCACGTGTCTTTAAACCCGCATCGTTTTTAAATAAATTGTTTAAATATTCTCCTTTCTAATATGTTTATCCCCCAAAACCGGTAAGTCTGCACGGCGACACATTTCACCATAGCATTATGTTCTATGTATAACTATACGTCACGAAACTTGAACCTAAATATTAAATATTGGAGAAAACTTTACTTATTGCTGATTTTAAACCTGACTAGCTAACAAGCAATAGCTTTGCAGCCATGATACAATTTTTAGTACCACAAATACGTTTTGGTATAACACCTAGGGAATTCAGGAAAAAGTTAATAAAAACTGCTTGCTTTTTTTTAATATTTTTCCTTGTGTAACGTAGAGGTATGTATGTAGTACGTTTAGCAACTGAGAATAGCAGTTTGCCTTTGTGCGATAAAATAAATAAAAGTGTATGAAATTACTTACCGCGTTTTTACCTATTTTTACTTAACTTTAAGTAGTCTGGCACCTAATTAAACAACCAAATGATGTAGGATTTTATAATTAAATAATAAGTACTTAAATAAATTCCAAAGAAAAAAGCGTAACAAAATGGCATTTCAGCATTTCATGGACGTTGAATAACGTCTATGAAATGCCGCAGATAAAGATTAATGTGTTTGAAATCATTTTTTTTACCGAATTTTAAGTTGTAAAACCTTACCTTCGTTAATTTTCTTACATATGCATGGTTATATAGACAGTGAAGGCGTAGCTGTATGCTTCATTACATGTACCAACTTATTTTAAATTTTATTCAGTACACGTCGTAAGCAATGCTTTTGCACTTGAATTACACATAAGTAGGTTGTTTGTTATTGAATATATCCTCTATCAAAATCTAACCAGTGATTCAGTTATTTATTTCTATATTTTAGTTTATTTTTATTTCAAATACCTACGTTTAATTTTTTTACAGTTCGAAACGAAGAGTCGCCCATACTCAGCAGAACATTCTTCAAGACTGATTGGCCTAAGCCAAAATACATTGATAAGCCTTACGTCGACACCAGAAGGGAAGATAAACATTCGGCAGCTAACATATCACCCACAAAACCCCCTAGTCGGTCTAAAAAACCAACTACCCCAATCAATGTTCTACCAAAGGTTAAAAAGTCAATTTATAAAGATACCATTAGAAATAACATGACTGGTCAAATAACACATTTGAATTTAGAACGGCTTCTTCTACCGACTATGGCTTCAGTCTTTTATGAAATAGAGAGGTACCATACAGATAATGCTACTTCGAAAATCAATATGACCGACACCGATTCTAAACTTTTTACAGAAAATACTGGAAAGTCTATGGTCGACGACTATAGTGGGCACGAAACAATGTTGAAAAAAGCTAGATATTTATTACTAACCGTAAACGACGAATATAAGTTAACCGGTAACAGAGAACGAGAGAATTTGGATAACGAAAAACCGAATTAATTAAGAGAGAGATAGAGATCAAAATTGAAATACAAATAATATAATAATCCAAGAGTAGGTATTGTATTATGAAAGTAAAAACGATTTAACCAGTAAAATTATTTATAAATTACTAAGATTCTCTTTTACTTCAAGTGTGTGTGTGTGTGTGTGTGTGTGGGTGTGTGTGTGTGTGTGCGCGCGTGTGTGTGTGTGTGTGTGTGTGTGTGTGTGTGTGTGTGTGTAAGGGTATTTTGTGTCACGTAAGTAATTTCATTGTTACTGATGGCACTACAAGGCATAGGTGTTGTATAGTGTGATTCCTAATAAAGAAATATGTAGTTTTCTATAAATACTCAAAAATGATGAAATTCAAGAGGAAGGTACTTAATTCCAAAAACCATATAATGAGACTGACTAAAGAAGAATATAGAGAGAGAGACTGCAAGACAAGAAAACTTACTAAAATTTTGCCCCTGTAGTTTTACTTCATTGTGATAAAGCAAGGTGATGATCTTAGCATATAATAAATCAATTATGCCCACTATTTTTAGCCTTCTACTTAGAGATCACCCCGCATTCAAAATTTCGACCGTTTTAAATGTTTTATTTCAATGACCGGGAAAAAAACACACACACATACACACACATTCTCACACACACACTTATTCAACCACACGCGCACGCACTTGAATAATTGCTTATTCTACTTTCTGCCTGTTATCAATTGTTTCCTATGATTTTGTTACACTTAAAAATGTGGTTTGAAATAAATAAACTCCATAATAATATATATCTTGCTATTTATTGTACACACAGAATCATCATCAACAGCTTTTAATAGTCCACTACTGGACACAGGCCTCTTCTTAGAAAGGACGTTCAGACGGGTAGGTATAGGGCTCAGAACAGAGAATATTCTATGTTCTGTGGTATAGAGTTCGTTTCAAGTTTTTAGTTTTAGTTTACTCCCTAAGACGTCTCTTATGACACCCACGTGATGAAAAGGGCTAGTGACACTCCGTATTCTTAATTCCGTCACATCTAAATAAACGATCAAAATTAATAAAAAAACGCCATTGCATGACTAAATTAAATAATTGTAGGTACCTATGTAGCAGTGCAACAGTGCAAACTGTATACCTAGTATATTTAATGTGTAGAATTTACTGTTAAAAGTACTTGTTTGAAAGATGGCGTGAGGGGTCTATGGACCCCGGGTCGGAACGCAGTTTCTTTCGAAGATAAATTATCGAGTAGACTTAGCTCAGCAGCATATATGCAGTTAGAAAAATTCGAGAGTTGACTGATGTTAATACAGCACGACTTTTTTGGTTGGTTGTGCGAGGCAAAAAGTGTCTCGAAAAGCGTACAGTAGTGGAGCGCCAACTATCCAGGTGATGAGGGTGAAAATATTGCCGTGTGGAACGATGGTAGAAAGTTGCGGCCGGTATTAGTCCGAACAATTTCTCGGAGCACTCTCCATGATATACATATATGCGATAGAGAATGCAGAGTGAAGCCACATCTCTACGTAACGACGTCTGCTCATCTGCCCCCTCTAACAAAACAAAAAAGCGGGAAATGATGACAGTATAATACTTCTAATTTTTTTGTTGCTGTAAATGGTCTTTTGGGTTCGATTTTCAAATTAATTTGCCTTTTAATAATATATGACACAGATGCGTTCAAATTCGAGCGTTATAAAAGTAATACCTACGTAAAATACGTTTGCAAAAAAAAATTATTTTGAAGTGAAACTTCTTTAGCACCTTTGTCATTTGAAAATTCGTTGAAACGAAAAAGCGACCGTAAAAAGAGATAAACATATTACTAAACAGGGTTTAGCCTGCGAGAGAATGAGATAGACTACAAGTATAATACAGTTTTTTCTGTTTTCTTCGTCGCTATCACGTACAACGAAGCCCTCAGAAAATGTCTCGTAAACAACGTGGTGTATTATTTACTTGTTTTATTTTTTTACAAAAATTTTAAATTCGTTGGGTAATGATGGTTTTCTATACTTTTTCTGCCACCAGATGGCGCTTCGTATGCGTCAGGTCCAAACAGCTGTCTGATAGCACAGATTCTTACCGAACGTATAATTTTTTAGTGAAATTCTATGTATTAGATAGTGTTATTGAGTTTATTATGGTATTTTTCGTTGGAGTAAATTTATCTCTGCGAATGGCTACAAGCCACTGTTTTAATCGGCTTTTTTCTTCTGCAGGGAACTTATCCTGTTTTATTTGCACACTTGGGCACTACACAACACAACACATATGAGAAAACAATATTCATTTTGTAACGGTTTTAAGAATGAATAAACCAAAAAATGATTGAAAAATACAAATCGTGTAGGTATGTGTTTTGACAGGTGGTTGGACCTGACGCTACAGTGCTGCTATCTCACGTGGAACATTTCAGAAAACCCTCATAATTCTGAACTTGCACTTCTGTCGTGTGTGAATTGCACACACTCTTTTTTTGTTTTTTTTTTTATGACAAAGATATTTTGAGTTTGCGCTTTTTGGTAAACGCTGATAAAACTATACTACAGGACATCTTCATATTTATGCAATATAATCTATACTAATATTATAAAGCTGAAGAGTTTGTTTGTTTGTTTGAACGCGCTAATCTCAGGAACTACTGGTCCGATTTGAAAAATTCTTTCAGTGTTAGATAGCCCATTTATCGAGGAAGGCTATAGGCTATATATCATCACGCTAAGACCAATAGGAGCGGAGCACCAATGAAGAATGTTTCAAAAACGGAGAAAACTTATTACTATTGAGAGACGCAGACGAAGTTGCGCGGGTCAGCTAGTTATATGTATATAGGCCCGCTCCGTTCCTGCCGGCGCGCGCGGCGACTTTTAAAACCTGGGACCGACGTGCAGGCCCGGCAGGAACGGAGCGGCCCGCAATTTAAACCTCTAATATCTTCTAAAATATTAATTTTAATGACATGCTGCATTTAGCAATTTTAATCAATTTTAATCACACAACATATCTAACTATTTAATTGGAAAAGGAATAATAACATATTAATATATAATTATAATTGTTTAAAACAGCTTCGTAAAAAACCCATTATTATTTTGGAATATTTAAATGATAAAAATGGTTATTGTTTTTTATCCTTAGGAAATAGATATATACCTTTTCAAGATATACAATTCCGTAGTACATTATTTTGGTCTATCTCTTAACGCTTAGCCAGCGTTTGCAATGTAAGTGCACAAAAACATATATTTTACGACGAATCTTTGAAATTCTCGTACTTTCTCTACTCTAATATGCATGTATTATACATATAAACCTTCCTCTTAAATCACTCTCTTTATTGGTGAAAACCGCATTAAAATCTTAGTTTAAAAGATGTCAAGTGTCTAAAAAAAGTCTTGTTACATTTTTCGGTCTCGCTTCCATCCGCTCAGGGCGTGTAACGCGCAATAAGGAACTTCGTTCCAAAAAAACAACCTCGTGAAAGCCATTTCTCGTAATTTAAATAATCTGATAAAGCAGAAACAAATACCTGTGACATTATAACCTACTCGCAGATAGTTGTTTTGACCCCAAGAAGTAATGTTGGTCAGTCATATTTATCCAACTTATATGACGAGTAAGAAGAACAAATAATATAACATATATGTTAACATTCCACTCCGTCCCTTTTTCTTTTTTTTTCCTTTGCCGATATCCCCTCGGATACCACTCACCGGTGGGTATGTCGGACTCGAACTGACTAAAAACTGCACGCCAGTAGCGTACCGCTACAGTAGCCGGGGAATCAAGTGTACTCTAGGAAAGAAATCCCTGGATTTGCGACGGACCCAGGGGCACCAGGGCTTGTAGATGAATCCCTCGTGTGTGGGAACGACGGTGTTTCTATTCTACTCCCTAAAAGGCGCGTGCTTTCTATAGTGCGCATGCAAAGGCAAATCTCACAGTCGGGCATTTTCTAGAAATGTTTAAATAAATTATACTAAATTTAATTATTTTTGGTTTACAAGGAGTTTGAAAGTGAGTTAATGTATTAATATTTTTAGAAGGGAATAAAAGGAAATAATTTTATTAGTCTGTGTTGAGTCTTCAACACAGTGAGTCGAATTTGGAAGATTGATTCAGGGTATGCAAGTGGAAAGATCGCAATATTAGTCCCACTAATATATTAAAAGGTAATCCTATTGCCATATATTTCTGAATAGGCTATATCCCGCGGCTTCTCTCATATGATTATTTCTTATTTCGTGTTTCTAAATTTTTAAACGACGAACTACCATAAAACCGTTCACCCATTATTTTACCCCTTCAGGATGAAATATTCAAAAATCCTTTCTTAGTGGATGCTTACGTAAAAAGGATGAGCTGCCAAAATTCCAAGTCGGTACCCCCTAGTGGTTTAGGCTCTCCGTTGATGTATCCGTCAGGAAGCAAGTCGTTTAATCTGTACCTAGATAAACATACCTAATTATTCTCTTTCAGCTTTACAAATTTAGTCTACCAATCTGTCTGTAGGTATGTACATATATTAAGTCTAGCCTGACTCAGTACAATAAGTGAATTAACTTCTTGGTAACTACGTTTGAATAACAAGGAGTCATGATCTTGATAAAGGAAAACGATACAGTTTCCTCATACGCGCGATTGTGGAGGCGGTGAATCCCAATTGACTGTAATTAACAGTACTTAATAGATAACGCACCGTTTAGAAGATAAAGTGAAATTGTATAATATTATTGATATTGTGATCAGTAGTTCTTTGAGATAATACTTAGATATTAATCGAGACATCTAACTCGGCTCGTGGCTAAGTCAAACTCAAACTCTCTTTATTTTATAAAAAAAATAAAATTGTTTGAAATCGTCTTTTATGTAGACTGTAAAGTCATAGATCAACACACACAAAAGCAACAATCTCTGTTTTGTCAAATAGTAAGCAAATACATTTAACAAAAATCAAATCCGTACAAAATCTATGATATGCCTGTGCCGTGTTATGAGAAGAAAGGGCAA